ACTTTTACACACATTGAACATTTCAGGAAGTAGAGAGTTCTAAAACATACTGATGATGCCACATTAAGGAAAATTCTGTCCAAAAGTTCAACAAAATGTACACGCAAGAAACACAATTATTCTGATACTTTAAACCTATATTTGTATTTGTGTGATAATAATTTCTGTGAATATTAAAGGAGTTTTACTATGGGTAACAGTTAAGTCCCTAATGTAATGTCACAATTTCCAAAAATTATCCAAAAATTGGCCAAATTGGGAAAATGAGTGTGAATGTTTTTGTAAAAAAAAAAAAAATCTTAAATATAATGATCTTAACTTGTCATAGACATTTTAAAGTCAAACTGTAATTTACCCAAATGGTAGTATTACAGCAGAAGTAGTGTTCGTAGTATTTGTTGTAATAATGGTATAGATAGATGGAATGATAGGTGGGTTAAGTATCCTTGCCAAAAGACACAACAACAGTAGTACTAGAGCAGGGGTCATCAAACTAAGGCTCGTGGGCCGACTCCGACCCTCCACGCCCCTTTGACCAGCCCTCCAGCCCCTCTGCCCCCACCACTTGAACTGACCCTATGAGGCCATCCTCAAAAGTTGCCATGGCCGATTTTGTAAAATTACTTTTTGGCAAAAAAAATAACACGTCTGCATCTTGTATTTTGTTGATTTTGTCAATTAAAAAAATATATATTTTTATGACGTATTTATACTTAAATAGTTATATGATGTATTTACATTTGCTGTTGAATTTTCGTCACCTGACAAGCTGGAGATCAAACAGTGACAGTCGACACACACGCAGATTTCTGTAGTGTAGTTAAGGACAGAAAAATGGTGAATGTTAAAGTACAAAAAGTTGACAGAGAGTGCCGAGTTTTCAAAGTGTAAGGAGCGTGCAGTTTGTATGATATATAAAGAAAGTGTGGGGGGTTTTCAAAGAATATAATCTGTGTCATCAGGGTCAGACAATTCAGTTATACAGCCTCAACCCTGGCCCCCATCACAGTCAGGAGCAATAATGTGGCCCCCAAAGCAAAAGGTTTGGTGACCCCTGTACTAGAGCTGCTGCTGGCACCTGATATTCCCAGCGGCCTGGAGTGGACATGGACAAGATGGTATTGACTGACATCTCCATGGAAACAAGCAGGTGGCACACCCTCCACCAGAAAAGCACCATAATGCAACTTTAAAAGCTCAGTTAGAGTGATTTTTGAAGGATGTTGTGATGCAGGTTTGTGGAATGTGACGATGACGTGAGAAAACTAGAGAAGGCGTTAACCTCAGAGTAAATCCCTGCACTGACTGAACGGCAACTATGATCAAACTAGGATCATACGAGTTAGTCACTTTTCATTCATATTCAATTCAATTCATATTTGCAAAATGTTAATCACACATATTCTAATAACATTTTGATTGTGACGAAAGCCCATGAAGTTACCCTACAAAATCCATGTTCGTTCAAGTGTATCAAAAACGCTGATGGCTAAACCTCTCCATTGGAATAATTCGTTTTTGTTTGGTTTTTTTGCCCTTTTATATATGTTTTCTAACCCATTAGCGTTAGCAAGCTGGGGGCTAATAGCTAATGTCCAGTCATTACCCTGGTGGCCCATCGTTAGCGTTAGAGTGTGTGATTATTGCAATGACATTTAGATTCTTCTGGCCTCATAAGAACGATATAAATCAAAAGCTTATGTAATGGGCCAGAGTATCATATTATGTAACACACTTTACAACATGGTCATCAATCACTGTATTTCTTTTATACATTGTACTTTGGATTAGATCCAGTTGTCACATTTCAAGGCACTCAAAGCACTTTACAACAAGGAACCACTCACTCATTCACACATTCACACATACATTTATACTCCAGTGTACTCAGATACCGCTCTGTCTCGCCCCAGGACACACCGACATCAGCTTTCATCACAGTATTCATCCGTGGGAGCTGGAATCACACCACCAACCTCTGAGTCAGTGGACCTGACCACTCAACCAATGATGTTCATGTTGAGAGCGGGATTCTAACCACCAACCTCCGGATCAGTAGACAAACGCTCTATCAACTGAGCTACTGCTGCCCCAGCTGAGCGACTGCTGCCAGTGGTGGAAGAAGGTAAAGAAGTACAAGTGGTTCTTTATTTAAGTAAGATTTTGAGATCTCTGTACTCTACTTAAAGGTGCAGTGTGTAATTGTTCTGATGGAGAGTTTGTCAAATGCTTTTCTTCATGGAGATGTTTTTGCTTTGTTTAGAATGTTTCAAAGTAGGTTATAGGGACGTAACAATTACCGAAATATTGTGATATCGATCAAAATTGTCACAATAATATCACTAATAATATCAATAATATCTGTTCAGTCACAGTATATCAAATTTCAAGTTCCTTTGCTTAAATACATGGTTTTATAGTAGCAACAGTTTAAGAACATCGGGAACTACATCTCCCATGAGTGGGAATATGTTTGATGTCAGTGAATATGTTTTTGACTTGAATTCTTGGGATTATGACAGAAATAATTCACACCAAAATCTTGTCAAGGTATTATAAAAGCAAAAAAGTGTCCTATCTACAATTATATCAGCCTCTCCAAAATATCTCAGTAAATATCGTACTGTGAAATGCATATTGTGATAATATCGCACCGAGAGAGTTGGATATCACTACATCCCTAGCAGGCTATAGTATTACCACCTTCATAGAGACCAAACCAGACCAAGTTACAGGTCAGACCTGTGGAGAGGCGACCCCACTCACAGTCAGAAAGCCTGTTTTTCTAGCTATTTTTGAGCTATAAAACCACCTGTAATTGAATAAATATAAGGAAGAGCTGTTTAATGTCATACTGTGGAACATGACATACCCATAGAAACAAGCAGGTGATGGACCTCCAACAAAAATGTTACATAGTGCATCTTTAAGTACATTTTTTGGGTTCTTTTTTACTTTTACTTCACTACATTTGAGAGCAGGTATCTGTGCTTACTACTCATTACATTTTTTTAACTGGACTGAAATGCAGAGAGTACTTTTGTGTGAAATAATTTTACTTTTTACTATAAGTACATTTCATTTTTACTTAAACTGATGTTTTATGTGACACTTTTATTTTTACTCGAGTAACCTTTTACCTCCGTATCTGTACTTTTACTTTAGTAACAATTCTGCGAACACCATGCACCACTGATTAGATCCAGAGATGATAAGGAGAGTGACAGCAGTAGCGTTTTTTTTAGTATAGTGGTTGTGGGATATTTGTAGATAATGTAAGCAGCAGTAATGAAAGTAGTTGTAGTAGTTTAATTAGTTCATTGTTAAATCATGGGAAAAAGCAAATACTTACGAAACCAGTAAAGTTGTGGTTACACTATTAATAACTAAGTGTTATATAAGCACGACTTTGCATTGTATTTTTACATTGTACACTGTAGATCTAAAGACGACTGGGATACTAATAGCAGTAACAATTTTAGACTATGGCCATTGCAGTATAGTAGAATATTTTTAGATAATGTTAGCAGTAGAAGTAAAAGTAGTTTAAAAAGGTAGTAGTAGTAGTGGGAAAAACCAAGGACTTATGAAACCGGTGAAGTTTTTGTGGTAAGCTCTTAATAAACAAGTGTTATATAAGTAGGACTTTGAAGCAATGGCCTAATATAGTAGCCTAGTTGGCCATCAAGAAGCCAATCAAAAGTTTAGTATTTCTATGGCAATGGGTGTAAAAGATGGAGTAGTAGTTGTAATAGGAGTACAAGTAGTTGGAGCAGCAGTAATTTCAAAGGTTAATAGTACTGGCATAGTGTAAACTCGTACTATAGTAGGCCTATTAGTTGATGTTTTAATCGAAGTAGTGGCAGAAATTCCTATTGCAAAAGTAGTACATGGCAGTAGTAACTGGCTTAAGATTAGTTGTAGTAGCAGTAGTAATAATAGAAGTTGTAGTGGTAGCAGCAGCAGTTGTAAAACATATTGTCACAGTAGTTTTAATTGCTTGTAGTAACTATTAGAAGTAGTACTAGCAGATCTATGTTTGTATTTGTTTTCTTTAGTATTTTGGTCAATTTGCATAAAAACCTATATAGGACCCTGTAGTAATTATGGTAGTAGTAGTAGTAGTAGTAGTAGTACTAGTAGTAGTAGCAATATTAGTAGTAGAAGTAGTAGTAGTAGTAGTAGTAGTAGTAGTAGTAGTAGTAGTAGTAGTAGTAGTAGTAGTAGTAGTAGTAGTAGTAGTAGTAGTAGTAGTAGTAGTAGTAGTAGTAGTAGTAGTAGTAGTAGTAGTAGTAGTAGTAGTAGTAGTGGTAGTGGTAGTAGTAGTAGTAGTAGTAGTAGTAGTAGTGATACTTGTATATTGTGTACTTGCATATGGTAGTTGTTAACTATATAGCACCCTGTAGTAATTATGGTAGTTGTTAGTAGTAGTTGTAGTAGTGTAGTAGTAGTAGTAGTAGTAGTAGTAGTAGTAGTAGTAGTAGTAATAGTAGTAGTAGCAATAGTAGTAGTAGTAGTAGTAGTAGTGGTGGTGGTGGTGGTGGCAGTAAGAAGTAGTTGTAGTAGTACTAGTAGCAGTAATACTTGTATATTGTGTACTTGCATATGGTAGTTGTTAACTATATAGGACCCTGTAGTAATTATGGTAGTTGTAGTAGTAGTAGTAATACATGTAGTAGTAATATATGGTAGTTGTTAGTATTATAGTAGTAACAGTAATACTAGTAGTAGGTTAATAGCAGTAGCTGCAGTATCAGTTGTCATAGTGATCGTTTGTAGTAGTAGCAGTAGTAATAGTAAAAGTATCACTGCAGTATGACCTTTAATCTCTGTCTAAAAAGAGAAAGTGCTGTTGTGTTTTGGTTCATCTGCATTTAAAAACATGACCAGTGAAAAGTACAATAGCCCTGCTCTGGACTCTGTGGGCGGGGCTCTGGGAGGGGGAGGGGCTTAGGACAGGTTTCAGGAAGAGAGTAAATACTGCACCTGTGAACCAGTCTGCGCAAAGTACATGAACACAGCTACTACTACTACTACTGCTTCTGGATAAAAATATGTCAAGTGAGTACAAATACTGCTTATACTTGTTACAAACTTGCTCTTATTAGCTGGAGACTGTTAAAATATTTAGTATAATGGCTCATGTAGTACTATACTTGAGTATTTTAACTATATTCAACTTGTACCCAGTTACATTTACTTATGTTACCTTTTGAACAAATTGTACTTCTCTGAGTAGTTTAGACAGATCCTTTTACTGCTTGAGTATTTGAATATTTTATTGAATTGACAGTACTCTTTCTTAATTAAGTAAAAGTTTTGGTTACTCTTTCTACTATGAGTAAATCTAAAAGTGACAAAGCTTTATGTTGACAATATGAAATAATTTGAACATTTGTGTTTCTTGTACAACTCCTTTTCCTCACTTTTTTGTGTCTATACTTTGAAAATACCAGATTTTTTGAAAGTTTTTATAATTACGTGAACTTCAAACCATAAATCAGATGTTACGTCAAGACATTTACGAGGTTTTAGTACAAACAAACAAACAAACATGTAAACTTAAATCTACTTGAGTGTTTTTGGTCTTGTTAGATGCTTTACTTTACTTCACATTGGCCTATATTAAAAAAAAAATGCTTTATTGAACAAAATATCCCAATCCAATCAATGTTAGATTAGAAAGAGCAAAATATAAGATGTAAAAATGTAACCTGAGTAACAAAATACTTGGCTAAAACGTATTTATTTTCCTGTACAGGCCTGGACTTTTCCGTTTGTCTTTTGTTTTCTTTTGAATCAGAGCAGGTGGTGAATGTAGCCAGCATATCTTGTGTTTCTGCATTCTTCAGATAACTCTCCACCTCCACGGGACAAACTTACGTCTTTCACTTCACTTCCTGTTTTTACAACGAGACAAAACAGATTAGTAATTGAGCTTCCACTGCATCTCCAGATTTGACCTCCATTCTGATATAAGACAGTTATATGATTGAATTCTTAATCCTAAATTCTTGTTTTTATTTGTTATAATCTGATTTAAGCAGACACACTGACTAAACCAAGACTTATTATGAACAAAACCAGGTCACGATCAAGGTGTAAACCAGGACTATAATTGGGCGGATTAAACTAGATCCAAAAATAGGCTTAAAGAACCTCTGAGTCATTTCACCAAAACATAATTAAGTTGATTATATTTAAGATTTATTTTTATTTTTTTTACATGACGACATCACGCTGGAAAATCCCATTAGTGTTACCTACAGTAGAAACCATGTTCTAACTGGAACCGAAACATAGAAATTATTATTTGACAAATAAAAATATAAGAAAACACCTTTATTTTGTTGAAATAGTGCTCAAAATATCAAAAAAAAAAGTTCCTTGTGTGTTAATTGTGCTGAAATTTTGGACAGAATTTTCCCAGTATGATGTTATCAATATGGAACTCTCACTCTTTCTTCATCCCTCTCTCCTTATACCTTCTCTCACATGTTCCCCATCTCTCCTCTCTTCTCGTTTCCACGCTTCCTTCTACTCCCTAACTCTTTTTCTTCATCTCTCATTTACCCCTTCCTCATTCTCTCCTCTCTATATCCTTCCTCTCAGCCTTCCTCCTTCTCTCTCTTCCTGTCTGTATCCCTCTCTTTCTTCCCCACTCTCCTTCACCTCCCTGTTTCTCCATCTCTCCCACTCCCTTTTCTACCCTCCATCTCTCCACTCTCCCTTTCTGTTGCCCCATTCTCTCTTGTTTATCTCTATTTCTTCCCCTCTATGCCTCACCTCCCTTTTTCTCCCTCTCTCCCACTCTCTTTTTAGTCTCTCTATCCCCATGCCCCCTCTCACCCACCAAAGTACGTACATAAATTACACGTTTACTGCTTCGGCTGGAGCTTTGTGTCAGATAAGAGAAAACCCAAAGTTCATTTTGTGACATAAGATCAAAACTCTATGTAAACTACACAAACTTAAAGAGCCTAAGTTAAGTTATTGTCTGACCTAGTTGTGTTTTGTGTCATTCTCACATGTTTAACATAGAAACTCCACTGCATTTTTAAAATCGATACACCTTCACTAGAATCACTTGGATGATTTCAGCCCTGGAATTGCCCATTTCTACTGAACTAAATGTAAAAGGCAGCTGTTCCGTTAACTTAAAAACTACTACTTCATGACATCACAAAGTAAAACAGAGCATTTTGAGCTTTGCAGATGTAAACAGACATGTGTGAATGAAACAAAACACATGTCTAGGTCTGTTTTTGAGGAGGTAACAACATTTTGACGTGACTTAAAACTCATAAGCCTCATATAAAGTAATGACACTGAAGTATTTGATTTATTGCAAAGCAGAATTGGTTCATGATTCTGCTCGTGTTGTAGACTTAGTTTGAGCTCATTCTAATCCAAATGTGTAAAGTGAACCATGAAAATCCTCAAAATATCACGCTGAATATCATATTAGGAGTATGTGATAAAATTATACAGTTAAACTCGCATTATTGTTTTGTTGTATAATATAAAATGGTACGAATATGACAGATGGAACCTGCTGAACTCATGTTTGACTCCACCCAAAAGATGAGCTTTAACTTTAGCGTCTGTGGTTTTAAAGGCTCATTCAAAACAGGGGCACACCCAAACCATCACTGTGTCACTGTGTTTTAAGAAGTTAAGTAACAAACAAAAGTCGAATTAATAGTACGACGTAAATGACAAGGGAGGGTGTTTTTTTTTTTTCCCACAGCAGATATTTTTATTTATTCATTTATTTTATTCAGACGATATTTTCATGTTTGTAAGTATATGTTTTCCCAGATATATTCTAATGAGTTTATTTTTGCAGTTACTGTGTGAACATATACACAAGTCAGCTCTTTAGCATCATTACTCATTTGTAGGGGTGTAACGATATCATCTCGGTATCAACCTCACCCTACGATATTTATTGCGATATCGTGGGAAAGCTCACGATATGGTGGGGAGGCTCACAATTAGGGATGTAACCATATCCCAATCTCTCGGTATGATATTTTCACGATATACATCTCACGATATTTATTGCGATATTTTGTGGAGCTTAAACAGCTAAAACTGTTAATATGGTTCTTTTTCCTCTTAAAATCCCTTGAGAAGATTTAATCCAAAGAACTAAGACTTAAAAGTGTTAGAACTTATGTTATTTCTTCATGTAGTCTGCACTGAAATGGAGCAAAGGATCATGGTCTATGTAGTTCCCTCTGTCTTATTTGCTATTGCTGCATCATGACTCTTAATTTAAGCAAATAGACTTGTAATTCGATATATTGTGATAGTCTACGATATTACTGTGAGAACTTTGACGATACGATATCACGATATTTTGATTATTGTGCACAAATGCGTCCAATACCAGTATATGAAAAATGTTTTGATCTGTTAATTGAAATAAATAGAGGAACTTTGCGTCTTATTGAGTCTTTTGGAGCTGAGTTTCATGTATATTACTGTTTTAGGTTTAAATTTGAACAATAAGATGCTCATATGTTTTGCAAAGTGTTGGCACGATACATCAATTTCAACTTGATACTAAAGAATAGAATCGATACTAATTACTGATGCCACAGTGATAATAAAAAAACACTCTTTGTTTAGACAATAGAATGTAATTTTGAACATTAAACCACAGTACTTCTTTTATATTCCCATGTGGTCTTATCTGTGTAATCCGTCAGTTGTCCAGGAAGGTTCCACTGTGGTCCATGGGCTCTTACTAGTCTGTGTGCTCTTATAATTGTTCTGATACAGCTCAAGATTATTCTAAAGCTATTCAGGAAACATTCATTTCTGTTCAGGACTAAATCAGGATCAAAAGTTATAGTTATAGCTCATTAAATATTCCTTCCCATCTGTTTTCCAGCCGTGCGGTCTCCAGGGAGTAAGATGCTCTCGGAGGATCAGTTCACCTGCTCCATCTGTCTGGAGATCTTTGTGGAGCCTGTGTCCACTCCGTGTGGACACAGCTTCTGCAAGGCCTGTCTGCAGGGCTACTGGAACCACAGCAAGAAGTTCCTCTGCCCCATGTGCAAGAAGAGCTACTCCAAGAAGCCAGAGATGAGCGTCAACCGCGTTCTGGCCGAGATCTCCAGCCAGTTCCAGGGGCTGATGCTGGCCGAGACGTCCATGGGAGGGGCCTCGAAGTTGAGCACGTTGAACCACAGCCACGGCCCTGTTCCTGCTTCTCCGGGGCCCAGTCAGGACAGTGGAGAGTTCGCGGGGCCCGGGGACATTCATTGTGACTCGTGTATAGGGAGGAAGCTGAAGGCGGTCAAGTCCTGCATCAACTGTCCTGGGTCATTCTGTGAGGATCATCTGAGACATCACAAGAAGGTACAGAATATGTGGAGGGTCTTGATACTCGAACTTTACTTTATGTTTCATTGTTCACTTGATGTATGTACCTCGTGGTTTAAATAAATGTAATGAATAAACATAAACATAAAAAGGTACAATCACAACTCAACCTGAATTGCCGGAAACAAACATCGTCCATCTGTACATAAACAAACATAACTCTGAAATAGAGGCGGGGACTGAAAAACTTGCAGATTTGTGAGACTCTAAACTGCTGTTGTCCTATGGAGTGAGCACCTCAAATTATCACCTAGGAAATTTGATGGGACGTGATTTCCTCTCTCCATATAATCTCATGTACAGAAGGACCTCTCTCTTACCTATTGTAGAAGGTCTTAAATACCAGTCTTACCTGTGACACATTAAACTGATTTCCGTGTTTGTAGGTGAAGACCCTGATGTCTCACCGCCTGATCGAGCCGACCTTTAACCTGGAGGATAAGATCTGTAAGAAACACGAGCGTTTGATGGACGTCTACTGTCGCACGGATCACGCCTGCATTTGCTCCGTGTGCGCCGAGGCCACGCACAAGTCTCACGAGATCGTCTCCACCGACCACGAGTACAAGAAGAAAATGGTACATTATCTATGCTATTCTGTATACAGCGTCAGTGGGATTATTGTACCAGTTTACCAGGACTGTAGGACTTTTGTAGCCTGATTTATCAGCCAGTTTCACTTTGTAGAAACCGTCTGACCTTACAGCATTAAAATTTGTTTGTTCGACTGTAGGCAGGTACTTTTTTTATTTAACCAGTCACCGCTATTTGGTCATGAAGTATGTAATGCATTGCTAACGGGGCTAACTGGTATATTAAGCTTTTCCCAAATCCTGTAGGAAGAAGGGCAATAACGTCTTTCTCCTTGATGAAATTCACCAAACATTCTCTTTGTTCCTGCTTTAAATCCTCGACCTGGGGAATTGTTGCCAACACAGAATGTATGGCTCTTCGCTGATTGGCTGGTGCCCGAACTCGCACTTCCGGGGTTTTTGTGAACCGTCTATGGTATTCTGATTCCTGACCTAGTCACTGGAGAGAAATGAAATTGAGTGGAGGCACCAGGTGGTGCCACGCTGGCCTGGATTTTAATGGTTTAGTTGAATAATCGGTTGATGGCGTCCTAGTTGACTAAACTTTGTTTAAATTGACTAAGCTTTTTATATAAATTACAAAAATTTCGATGGGACAACTTCAGAAAGGAGTTAGTTAGTGAATAGTGAGTGAGTTGAACATTTGGTATTTTATCATATTTTTATGATTCATGAGTTGAATTTGTCTTTATATACATATAGATACAGTTTCCAAGTCCAATTTTTTCTTCATAAAGATTAGGTTTTAATTTAGTTTAGTTTTTTTTTTTAAGAATATTAAGAATAATATTAAGACTTCAAAAGCATCACAGAGTATACCGCGTGGTGACTAAGTTTCAGAAACAGATAAGTTATAGGTCTTCAAATCCAAATCCACTTTATTTCTACAGCACATTTTACAAACAAAGCAGTTTCCAAAGTGCTGCAAAGAGATCATGAAATGAAGACCACAAAAAGGTAAATTGCTAAAATCTCTTGTGGTCATTAGTTACCTGTTTAGCCCTGAGCAAACTTTCAAACCTCAAATATGTTTTTCATCAAAGTTTATGGGAAATATGAATGAGAAATTTACTTCCGGAACCAGTGGGTGGACGGTCACAGTTGAGCTCCATTCCTTCGAAGTTTAAAGTTTTTGTATTGTGATAACTCTATCACGTCATAATTTAAGTTTCATTTACTTTTAAAAGAAATCTTCAGATAGAATTTAGATCCACACATTTCTTTAACCCAATTTTATTAAACTGCTATTACTGTCTTTCCAGCAACAACATCAGAGTAACACCAAGAAAATGCCATGACCTTCTGAGGCTTTGTCACCTATGGCTTAGTGCTGGCAAAGAACTTTTATTTCACTTTTATTTCATGTGAATTGTCATTTTTAGTTTTCATTTTCCTTTAATCCCAATATTTATTTCCAGACTCACATTGGAAAGAAGAGATCGGAGTTAAAACATCTGATCAAAGAACGCACCAAAAAACTGGATGAGATTAAACAGTCCATCAAAGTCATCAAGGTAAGTCCTGGTTTTCTGCACAAATTAGTTTAGGTAAACAACAAAGCCACATTTTCAATATAAAAGATGCTAATTCTGTAGTATAGACTCTACAAACATGCTCTGAAATACATGGGATTCTTGCATTAGTTTGTCAATTCAGTTTAGTCTTTTCTTAAATAAAAGACTAAAAGCTCACAAGAATTGATTTTATATGGGACATTTAAACAGAACCCCATGATTAAAACAGAAATCGCAAATCTTATCACAATCATAATACTTGTAAAATAGCAATTAGATATTTTTCCCAAAGCGTTGAGCCTAAAGCAGGATTAAAACTGTTTTAATCCCATGCGGATCCCTGTAGTCTTTCACATGCTGTAGATGCAGGAACCAGGGTTTATGCGTCTAAGTGGATAAACCAGCCAGACCAGGTGTAATTTAACATGAGCTCACACCCTTTACCTTTAGCCCTATTACCACCACAAAACAGATACAAGATGAGCAGAAAAGAAGCGGTTTCATTTTAGTTTTAGCTGTACAACAACTTGAATAGTCTCTGTAATTAAAGGTGCATCCTGTAAAATCTCTGGTGGAGGACCAGTCACCTGTTTATTTCCATAGAGTTCTCACTCAACCAGAAAATATGACTCCTAAATATTCACTCCTAAATTAAGTAGTTACTTAACTAATAATAAACCTTTTGTTCATTATGAATTCAGTCTTGGTTCATGCTTTATGAAGGCTAATTAGTTATTCTAAATTGTAAGCAGTGTTGTAGTTTTTTGTACACATGAGCCCCGTGTCTCTTTGCTTGGGGTTTGTTTAGTATTTGTAAGTTCAACAGATACACTGAGGATCAGGTTACAACACAGAAGTAACACAAGGATGTGTGACTGAAATGTAAACACTCAGGTATGTAACAAGATGAGATAAGAGAATGAGACTGGACTTAATAATAACAAAATGTACTGTCTGCTCCATCTGCATCAAATTTGGATTAAATCAGGGCTGAATTACTTGGCCAAATGTGTGGGTGAATGTTAATGAAGCCACATTAGAGCTAAAAAAAAAAAAAAAAGCTATAGATATAGATAAATAGATTGCATTCATCTCGAATAATGGAGGACAAGGGCCTATATTTTTCCCTAATCAAAAGATATATAATTTTGTTATATATAATTCCTCATCATTCTGAACCCATTGACTGTGAATGTAATCTGACCTTGTGTCCTTTGTCTCAGGCCAGTGCTCAGAAGGAGCTGGAGGAGAGCTGGGCGGTGTATGCGGAGCTGCAGAGGCTGGTGGAGCAGAGCCAGGCGGAGCTGGTGGAGCTGATCGCGTCCAGGCAGCGAGGGGCTGAAAGACATGCACAAGAACTGGCCCGAGGACTGGAGAACGAGCTGAGCCAGCTGAGGAGGAGGAGCAGTGAGCTGGACGCCTTCGCCCAGACCCAGGACAAAGTCATGTTTCTGCAGGTACTACACAGGCACTGAGGAATGTGTTTGGGGCACAGTTAAGGGACCAGACCCATAACATGAAGGCCACGATACTAGTGGTTATAGGAGGGAATTTGGAGCCAAACTCCACATTAGGAATAGAATTAATGGACAAAATGACAAAATAAAAACCTCACTTGAGATCAAGATACAGGATTTCATTGAATGAAACAAGATGACACAACACAAGATGCTCTGGTCCAAGCAGGAATTGATCCTCTGACCTTTGGGCTGGTACCACTGAGCCACTCCCTATTTAGTATTAATTTTTGCAACTGAATAATTATTTCATATTCTTCATTCTAATTTATAGTCAGTATTTCTGGGCCTTGTACTTCCAGCTCCTTTAGTCTCATCTGTCTTAATTCAGTCGACCCACATCTGTGCATCCTTATGAATATATTTAAAGGTCCATATTACGCTGTTTTATCATCTATGTTATAATGTTTCCTCATCAAAAACATACCTGGAGTTGTGCATATGTAGGCTGAGCTCTTTTCTCAAACAGAAAACACTCTGTTTCTTATTGTGAGGTCATGTGGTTATACAGGAAGTGCTCCGTAGTGTTTTTAAACTCCACGCACCTTCACTAGAATCATTGATAATTTCAGCCCTGGAATTGCCAGTCTTTACTGAACAAAAGGTAAAAGGTAACTGTTAAAATGGAACAAAGCATTTTGAGCTTTGGAGATGAAGACAGACTAATAATAAATGTATCAAAACACTACTCCTGGTATGTTTCTGAGGAGGTGACAACATTATAACATGGCTTAAAGCTCACAAGAGTCAATTTTATGTAATATATAATATTACATAATATAAATGAGCATACTTCCCTTATAACAATATGATCATCCATCTTTGTGTGAGACTACTCCCGAGACCAGCCCCTCCCCTCTGCGTTTGACCTGGAATATTTAATAACGAAAATACTTCACTACATGAAAGTGCCTTTGAAATAGACATAGTTCAGAGCGTGATTACACAACAGCGGCGCGGAGGAGGGTCGGGACAACAAGCAATAAAAACAGCAGATTTTGAGTGAAAAATATGGCTGAATAATATTGAAAAAAAAAAAATCCTCTTTCCTCTTTGCTCCTTCTATTTTAAACACAGACAGGAGCATTAACATTTGAGAGAAGACTGAAATATGAACTGCTAATTAATACAAGAGCCCAGTGTATTTCAGAACGTTTATAGAGGTCTGAAGTACAGGGCTAGCAGCTTTTATACAGAATAAGACCAGATATTTTGTACTTTAGGAAATTATATTACTTAAAGGTGCACTATGTAAGTTTTCTGCTTGTACCATGATCATTTTAACTTCTGAAATGTTCCATAGTTTGGCTTTAAACATATCTTTCATTTATGTAATTCCTGGTGTTTATTACCACATATTTGTAGAACATTTCAGACAGTGACATCTCTATGGAAAGAAATCAACTTAGTGGTGAGTTAGTGCCCTCTTGTGGCTGCACTTACAATTGCACAAAGACTCACAGTACGATGTCTGGTCAAAAATAGGACTAAATAAGATCATGATTTAATTGTAATTCTGTTTAATTTGCATATAACAAATTCAACCTATTTTTATTTATTTATTTATTTTATTTTTGTCAAGTTCATGGGCTAACTGGGCTAATTGTACTTACTGGTTGGACACAGGCAGCAGTTATGACTTAAGTAATACCATAACTGTTACCTAGCAACCACAATGTTAACAAAGGTCACAACCTTGCACAACAGTAATAATTACACTAATGAAAGTAAATGACGCTTTTATTTTGTAAAGTCAGTGTCTTCCTTGTGTGTAAATTGTCACAAGATTTTGAATGGAATTTTCCGTGTCAATGACAGCAGTGGTATTCAGTTTATATCTCAGCACTTCCTGTATTTTTGTACTTTTCTGCTCAACCTTTTTCCACGAACTGTTGCTTAGCTGATGTAAAACTATGGAAGATAATTTGTTCATCAAATTTGATTTTTAAATGCTGTTGAATTTCTGACTTTGAAATGTTTTACTCTGAAAAAACATGTTTGAATTATTTTTATTATGAATTTTTGTTTGCTGAAATTTTAAGTGATACATTTTCAGTGTATAAAATTCAATATAAAAACATCACCTTTTAAATATCCAGCACAAATATTTTCAAGCCTTCAAATTCAACAGTCAAAATTCAGAGTGTAAAATTCGCAGTGAAGAAAATTCACAGTAAAGATCCGAAATGCCAAGGCAGAAGCAATCGATTCAAAGTGATCTGATCTAACTTAGTAAGAAACAAGAGATGTTGCAGTGATGCGACCTGATTGGTCAAAATGAGCCTCGTCGAAACCTCATCTCTTTGATTTGTTAAGTGTAAACCCCGCCCACAGATGAGAACAGCCAATAGGAAACAGCCTCTCCTCACATGAGCGATTACTTTTGCCTTGGCATCTTGAATTTTTGCTGTGAAATTTTTCACTGCGAATTTTACATTCTGAATTTCGACTGGTGAATTTGAGGGCTTGAAAATATCTGTGGTGACTTTTTTGTTTATTTTGAACTGAAAGTAAACTTCAAATTTCAGCCACTAAAATTCAGAATAAAAATAATTCAAACATCTTTTTTCAGAGTTAAAAAATTCAAAGTGAGAAATTCAGTCGTATTTAAAATTCAAAATCTGATGGAACAAATAATTTTCCATGTAAAACTATGATAAATACTTACCGCAGATACTATCTCACCAAACTGAGCAATAAAATATGAAAACAATAACTATACTATATTTTTACTCCTTGTTGTCCATGCAGCACCTGTCGACCCTGTCTCCCCTGCCGGAGCCCTTTGATTGGTCGGCGGTCTCCATAAACACAGACCTGTACTTGGGCACCATCCGCGCCTCTGTCAGCGGCCTCGTCGACAAGTGCAACGAGGAGCTCAAGAAACTCTATGGAAAAGGTAATACTACTACATGGACTACACTCAGTACAACTACTACTGTTACTACTACTACTACTACTGTTACTATTACTACTATTATTAAATTCAGATTCAGAAAAATTTAGTGGTCCCAGAAGGCAATATATCACAATGCAAAAACTTCAAAAAACACTACCATCAGCATGAAGCAATTTAACAGCAAAAGGCCCAAAAGAATTAGAAAAGTGATTTGTCTTTCTTACCCGCACATAACACCGACACCCTGAAGGCATCATGACAAAGTTAGGAGCTAGAGGATGGAGCCAGGAGACACTTTGCTTTGCTCAGCACCTGTTCCTCCCAGAAAGTGCAGCTCTCTCGGATTAACACCTGTGATATTTGAGCCGGTTTTAACAATGCTCTGGAGTTTGTATTATTATTCCTAGTTCAGTCCTGGTTTAGATCTGCTTTAGTCCTAGTTTAGTCTGGTTTAGTCCTAGTTTAGTCCTGGTTTAGTACTTGTTTAGTCCTGGTTTAGACCTGGTTTAGTACTTGTTTAGTCCTGGTTTAGACCTGGTTTAATCCTAGTTTAGTCCTGGTTTAGTTCCTAGTTTAGTCCTGGTTTAGATCTGGTTTAGTCCTAGTTTAGACCTGGTTTAGTCCTAGTTTAGTCCTGGTTTAGATCTGGTTTAGTCCTTGTTTAGTCCTGGTTTAGACCTGGTTTAGTCCTAGTTTAGTCCTGCTTTAGATCTGGTTTAGTCCTAGTTTAGACCTGGTTTAGTCTTAGTTTAGTCTTGGTTTAGACCTGGTTTAGTCCTGGTTTAGACCTAGTTTAGTCCTAGTTTAGTCCTGGTTTAGATCTGGTTTAGTCCTAGTTTAGTCCTGGTTTAGTCCTAGTTTAGTCCTGGTTTAGATCTGGTTTAGTCCTAGTTTAGTCCTGGTTTAGTCCTAGATTAGTCCTGTTTTAGATCTGGTTTAGTCAGTGTTTTTTAGTCCTGCCAACCCCCAGTCTCAAACACATGAGCAGAGTGGTGGTACAGTGCAGCTACAGTAAGTAGGTCACTGTAGCAGCACTTTGAAATAGCACTGACTCATGTTTTGAATTTGGCCCCATGTCTTACCCCCCTCTCCTCCCTCTTCTACCCCACTGCTTCCCTCTGTTCCTCCTCTCTCTCTCTCTCTCTGTCTCTTTATACTCTCCTGTCTCTTCCTCCATCTACTCTCTGCTCTTCTCTTTCTATATCTCCCCTCCTCTCTCCCTCAGTTCACTCTCTCCTCCCCCGTCTATCTTTTCTACGCTCACCCTACTCTTGTCTCTCATCCCCTTTTCCCCATCTTTTTCCCACTCTCCTTTTCTCTATCTCACCATCCCCTTTTCCTCCTCCTTCTCCCTCTCTCTCCATCTCCTCTACCTCTCTCTCCTTCTCCCCCCGTCCAAGTGTCCAACATGGCCGCTGCGCTGAATGGCGGTGACACATGTCTGTGTGGTTCTCTTCCGTCTGCTCTGACTCTGCGCCAAAACAAACTCACACACTAACTCATGTCTCCTTTATTTACCACAGAACTACGCAAGCTGCAGAACTATGCCAGTAAGTACAAATACATCCTTTGTTTTTTGTAATTAGTATTGTTTTTAAACATTTTTTTTAAAGTAAATAATTATTTAGTTTGGTTATTTTTTACATTTGTTTAAGATTGGACAAATGAGTTTCCTTACATGACCACAAGATGGAGCTGTTTTCCTTAATGAGTATGAAATTGGCAGGTCAAAAACTGGTTATATTGATTTTCTTGTGTCACTTGTATAATTTTGTTTTCCATTCAGAATATATATTTTCTTAATCACTAGAGCAAAGATCTTTTTTTTTTCTTAATTCTGAAACCCATAGACAGTCATTTTTAGCCTTTTTTTTCCCTTGATTTTGTTAATATTACATTCCCTCATTCCTTATTCTATGATTGCTTTAAGTGTGTAACTGCAACTATTCCAAATGTTCATTAATATGCACTCTATCAAAAAATAAAATAATATTATGTTATATTAAATAAATCTTTCTTGTCCTTTGTTCAGGTGAAGTTTTCCTGGACCCCTCCACAGCGCAGAAGAACCTGGTGGTTTCTGAAGACGGCCGCCAGGTGAAGTACGACGAGCACAAGACGTCGCACACGGACATGCCCAAGCGCTTTAGCCCCGCCCTCTTCGTGCTGGGGAGGGAGGGGCTAAGCTCAGGTCGCCACTACTGGGAGGTGGACGTGTCCAGGAAAGACGCGTGGACCATGGGCGTCGCTCGCGCTTCCGCTCGCCGCAAAGGAGACATCAAGCTGAGCCCTGAGGGGGGGTACTGGTGTCTGTGGCTGAAGAACGGAGAAGTGAAGGCCCTGGCAAACCCGCGCCTGCTGCTTCACCTGCCGACCACACCAGTCAAAGTGGGCGTTTACCTGGACTACGAGGGAGGACAGGTGTCGTTCTATGACGTGAAGGCGCGCTTGCATCTCTACACCTTCACAGATACTTTCAGTGAGAGTCTGTACCCCATATTCAGCCCCTGTCTCAGTCATGAAGGGAAGAACTCTGCGCCCCTCGTCATAACTAACATCAAACACACCTAAGGGTCAAGTTAGGATTGAAAAGAAAAAGTTACCAAACAGATAATCAGTCAATCATGCTAAAAAAAAAAGTGTTCTGAGCAGAGACAGCGCCAGATATTTTTGGTTGGAGGAGCTTTGTGGATGTTAATGTGATAATTTAGAGCCTTTTATAGATGTGAGCACACCCCCCCCCACCCTTCCCATGTTTCTTTTACTGTTTTAAACTTATTTAAATGTAGTTAGCCCCTGAAGTGATTTATTAAACTTAATATGGAATTATTGTTTTATTGCAGACTCATTTCAAACACTGTAGTTGCAATTTTAACATTTTGAATCGAGATTGGTGCTGCCCCTGGTGCTGAGGAAAGTCAAATAGACCAAAACCACAATTATTTTACCATTTATTTCAGCAGTACCATGTTTTAATGGTGTCCCCCCATCATTTGTTTGATTCCTGCTTGAGTAACTCTGTATCGTTCTGCATTTGAGGCTCAGAAAATTCCTTACTTCACCTCCCACCTGTCCCCGCCCACCTTCTCTGTTCTTCCTTGCAGTTCAAAAGTTTTGACCAGGAAATGAAGGAACACCTTTAGATTATTATTCTGTTTTAGATGAATAAGATACAATGTAAAATAACATTAAGCATATGTTGTAGTTTAATGTAAATAAATATGCCAGAGTTTGCCATAGTGTTAGTTTTGTCTGTAGCGCCTATGACCTGAGTACACTGTTGTTGTGTCCTCAGGCAAGACACTTTCCCACTTTGCCTGTGTATGAATATTTTTGAAGTGAGTGTCTGGCAGTGTTCAGAGAAGCCGTTAGCACAGACTGGCCATGGTGCACCTTTAACTCTTCAAAGCCCATGACTAAGAGCTAATGCTAAAGCTGCAGGCACCATGTTTACACAGCGAGGCTCTGGCTGGTGGTTTTGTTCGGTCACAAAAAGAACTTGGACAATGTACGAGAAGATAAAAATAACTGAAGACAAGTTTGAAGGATCACGTTTCACCTCGACCAAAACACACATGGGGTATTTTTTAAAACCAAAACCAAAACTGCTGCCAAAACAATGAAGAGAACATATTTTACAATTAAAAGTTGAATATATGTAATGTAAATATATATGTATTTGTATTTAAATGTTGTATTATTTTACCGGATAGATCTGCCTTTTTAAGAACTGAATATATTTTCGGTGGAGGTTTTTTTGTCTGCTTTCTGTCCTTTGATACAACAAAGCAGACTGTAATGTATTTTTTATCAGAATATTTTGTAACTTTGTAATTGTTCAAATTTGTTTAATAAAGAATGAAAAAATATTGATGTCATTAAAATTTCTTTGCGAATTTAAAATGAAACAGTGATTTGAAAACCTTAAGTGGGACAAGTCAAAGCTCGGGCTTAAGGTGGTATTAAGGGTTCAACGGCTCTATATTAAAGTGTGGAGTGATGTGACTCTCCATCTGTTCTATAACAGCTGATTATTTAGTTTCATATGAGAGCTGCCCATTCCTCGTGAAGTTCAGGTTATGGATATAATACACACGTCTCACTATAATATCCTGGGTTGTCACAATATGTCAAATTACAAGATCCTTTTGCTTAAAGGTTCTATATCACACAACATTGACTCTCTAAATTTTAAGCCATGTTGTAATGTTGATACTTCATCAAAAACATACCTGGAGTTGTGTTTTATTTCATTCTCATGTTTAAGTAGTCCTTTGTTATTAGCCTGTTTACATCTGCGAAGCCCAAAATGCTCTCTTCCACTTGTGATGTCATGAAGCGGTAGTTTTCAAGTTAACAGCTATACTTTTGGTTCAGTAGAGATAGGCGATTCCAAGGCAGAAATTATCTAAAGGATATTGTATGGAGTTTAAAAACACAGTAGAGCATTTCCTGACAGTAATGATTCACACCAAAGTCTTGTCACTGTAATTTAAAAGACAAAAAGTGGCATTTCTACCTATATCTATATTATCATGGCCTCTTCAAAATATCGCAATTAATATCGTACAGTGTTTATTGAGACAATATCACCGTGAGATTTGTATACTGTAACATCTCTGGTCAGTATAGGAAAATTCTGCATTTGCCCCATCCTTCAAGGTCTCTGAGACAATCCGGGAGCCATCTCCAGATCTTGAGCTGGACTTGATCAGAACCAGGGTCAAGACACAAAGTAAGCATTTTATTCAACTAGGACATTTCAAAGAGACAGGACCTTCTTGCTGTGAGGCTGAAGTGCCATCACGCTGAAGGTATAAATTTGTATGTGGGCTAAGGGACACAGAGGAGGGAGTGGGAAGTGGGGGAGAGTATTTTAGGTGTATGGGGGCAGTGGGGGGTGGAGTTTGGATGTGACATTGGCCCAAGCGTCTCATGTGTCAGTGGAGTCTCAGAACAGCTGCTGTGGTGAGTGTCTTCAATTTAAACTTTTTAAAACCTTTTTACCTGCATTTCCACATTTCATGTCATATCATTGCATTCATTTGTGTTATGGGATCGCAGTCTGCTTTTAAGGTTCCCTATGTAACTTCTGCTGATGCGTCTGTCACCTGCTCGTCTCCTTGGTGATAGTTCTGTCTGGAATGTTCCACAGTAGGGCATTAACCTGATCTATCTTGCTATGTTTGTATTCAGGTGTTTTTGTTGCTCACAAAATACTTTGAAAAGCATGCTTTATTACTGTGAGCTGGGTCGCCTCTGCACAGATCTGATGTCTAACGTCTAACTTGACCTGGTGGTGTATCTTGCTTTTATCCATGGTGACAGATACGTTTAATGTCATCCAGTGGAACATTCCAGGCCAAGCCGTAACATCTCCATGGAGACAAACAGGTGATGAACCCTCCACCAGAAAAGTTACATAGTGCGTCTCATCCATTGGCCTACTAAAATAACCTTATGTCAATTATTCTCTTAAGAGATTCTGTGCTTTTTGGCTTCTTTTTACAGTTTAAAGTCTAATTTGAGCCTAGGATGGAGCTGCCTGTGGTACTTGTGCATGTGTCAGCCTGGTAACAGCTATACTCAGCTGCACGGGCTAAACACGCTATAAAAAGCACTCAATATTTTTAGCTTTACTTTCATTTTGTAGAAATGGGCTTATGCACAATATTGAGGTGTCTGACCATTATCAACAAAACACTAATTTACTGATGATTCATCTGAAGTGAAATCATTTTAAATTCAGATATTGCGCTTGCACTTTACTATCCTGCACAGTAATAGAATCGCAGATGGAAACAGCATAAACATGGGAAATGTATTTTGTTTCCATGTTTTTACCAATAAAATACTAACCTTATTTTCCATCTTTCAAGTTAAGATGAAGGTAAACTACTGAAATTTGTCCTTTGCATTTGACTCGTCCTTCAACCTGTTAAGCGCATCTCCAGATCTTGAGCTACAGGCACGTTCAGTAGGTCCTTTTCAGTTCGGATACTGATGTCAATACTTTGGCTTTAAGTAACCGATACCCAATATCAACCGATACGGGACCGATTCGAGGCTGTAAACATGATTTATTTCCTTTAAACACAAACAATATAAGATGACCCAAATGTGTTTTGTAACTACAGAAAAGATTTTAAAAATACAAGTTTAATAACACTGACCAGTTAATCATCTTATTACACCAGTTCATAGACCAAAATGGGATATTGACTGAACCAATATCTTGGAAAACGATATCCGATCCACCAAATTTTTTAAATATTGGAGCAGATATCCAATACCAGTATCGTATCAGTGCATCATTATTCGTCAGGATTAGCTTAGCTGGAGGATTTCACCTGTTGTGTATGTTTTGGGTTGATGGGGGGAATAGGAGAGCCTGGAAATACCCCACACACACACAGGGAGAACATGCAGACTCTACACAGAAAGATCTAGGAGATGAACCCAGAAACCTTCGAGAATGCTAACCACATAATGTCCTCCAAACTAATAAGTGTGAACTTGCCATATAACCACTAAGTGCACATTTCAAATCATCAAATAATCTAGACTCTTTTGACTTTTGGTATTTCGTCCACTATTATATATTTTATTACTGTTCTGAGAAGTAAAGTGCAACCGTTTCCATTATACACCCCATGTAACCTTCACCGCTCGATGTGTAACAGGTCCATGCCCCTCCTCGCGCTCTCTGGCTGCCGCTAAGTTTAAGTGCTCAGAATGACCCTGCCTCTCCGCCGTGCAGGGATGGCCTCCACGGGGAACCTATCAGAAGAGCAAGTCCACTGCTCCATCTGCTTAGACGTCTTCACCAACCCCGTATCCATACCCTGCGGACACAACTTCTGCCAAAACTGCATTCTGGGATACTGGAAGACCTCTCCATTGTACCAGTGCCCCATGTGCAAGAAGTCCTTCCAAAAACGACCAGATATCAGTGTGAATACAGTTCTGAGAGAGATCGCGGAGCAGTTCAAGCAGATCAGAGTTAAAAGCAGAGACGGAAAGGTTGAAAAAGAGGAGGACGAGATTAAAACGAAAGATAAGAAGTGGACGTTGGAGCGACGTAAGAAAGAAGACGAGGAAAGACTGCTCGAAAAGGATCAGTTTTTGGAGGAACTTAAACAAAAGCAAGAACAACGCAAATTGAGAGAGGAGGCAAAGCCCGAGGAAGACCTGCCCCCTCTGATTCCGCCAATCCCTCCTCCGAGATCTCCTGCGATTTCCAGAACCCAAACTTCTGAAATTCCTCCACAAGTTTCTCCCTCACCATCGCCGCCAATGTCTTCTCCAATTTCTGAAAGTTCACCAGCAGCTTCTACGTCCTCGCTTGCAGCATCATGGGTTGAAGAAGAGGTCCTCTGCGATGTTTGCTTAGGAGAAGGTAGACCAAAAGCTATCAAATCTTGCTTGGTTTGTCTAACTTCTTACTGTGAGGAACATCTGAAATCACACGCGACCAGGTTCACGAAGCATAAGCTAATCGAGCCTGTCGCTAACATGGAAGATCGCATGTGTCCCAAACATGAGCGCTTGCTGGAGCTGTATTGTAAGAAAGACCAAACCTGTGTCTGTGTTCTCTGCACGGAGACTGACCACAGAGCTCACTACACTGTACCAGTGGAGAGGGAGTGGACGGACAAGAAGGTAAGACGAAAATTGTGGTCAGATACTTTGGATTTGAGTCATGTTTTGCAAAGTTTGGTACTAGATAGTATGCTCCAAAGGGACAGTTGGCTGTAATCAGTTGTTTTAAGTGTTGAAGTTTAGGAACAGGGTAAGGATTAAGATTATGAAAGTTATGGTTAAAGAGACAGCCCAGAATTTTGGACATAGGACCTAATTTCCTAGTTAGCCAGAGTGTTGGAGACATGTGGAGACACTTTTTTAAATATTCCATCCAGTCCTTGTATTTGCAGAGGTTGCTGGTGTTAGGCTAGTGCATGTCAATGGCCATAGTTAGCCTGCCGCTAAAAATAGTCTTACCCACTCCACAAAACACCCTAATCTATCTAGTATAACACCAGACTGACGATGTGAATGTCTGTGTTGATAGAATAATTTTAGAAGTAAAGCCAACCTTGCATTTGAAGTATTTAAGTCTGAGCAGCAGCAGTGAGTTGTACTTCCTGAAAGAAAGCTTGGCAGCGGAGGACTGATATATGAGAAAATAGTCCCTCAACATGCGACGATTCAAGCAATGCAATGTTAGTTTTATTTCAAACATTATTCTATCAACACAGACATTTACATCGACAGGCTGGTGTAATAATAGATTTGCTTCGGTGTTTTGTGGAGTGGGTAAGACTGTTTTTAGTGGCAGGATAACTATGGCCATTGACATGCACTAGCCTAGCACCAGCGACCTCTGCAAATACAAGGTCTGGATGGAATATTTTTTTTAAAGTGTCTCCACACGTCTCCAACACTCTGACTCACTAGGAAATGATGTCCTATGTCCACAATTCCGGACTGTCCCTTTATGGTTTGAGCTCTGAAAATGCAACTGTCTTAAAAATGTGAAAAACAGAAGTATGGTCAAAAGTTATTCTTCACTCTCTGGGCCACCAATGAGTTCATTAGGACATTTCACAACTTTCAGAAGCCAGAGAGGAGTTACAGTAATAGTAACAAAAACCAGAAGGCTAACTGTGCATTTCCTGATTCTTGTATAATAAATGACTTTATCATTTGATGCAGACAGTACACAGTGAACATATTTTGTCCTCAAGAGCCGCTTATACAATATATCTGTAAAGGGTTGAGTTGTTGATTCTGTCTCTCCTGAGCAGACTATCTAGCATTCAAACTGAGGGGCTACATTTTTTATTTTTTATGTACCCAGGCGCTGCTGAAAAGGACAGAGATGGAGGTTCAGCAGATGATCCAAGATCGAGTGAAGAAAGTGGAGGAGATCAAGCACTCGGTGGAGCTCAACAAAGTAAAATTCTAGATGTTACAGACTGTAATCCACACGACATAATCTTGTTTTGAGACAATTACTAGTTAGTTGGCAGATATTTTGGAATTGATATTGCTAAAGCTATGCTTAAGGTGCTTTATCTAATTTTTTGAGGAAGATCTGTTATCTAATTGTCTCCATGACCCCACTCTGACCCCACTCACTATAAGAATTTCAAGGCATTTTTAGCAATGTAAACCCAAGTAACTGAATAATTACAAGATAATGGCATACTGCGAAACATTCCAGACAAAGTATAGACCATTACCCTTGTTTAGTTCAGTTTACATAATTGAAACCAGTGAAAAATCTTGGGTGAAGAGAGCTGGCCAAATTTCAAAAACCCTTAACGACCAGCTATAAGTACAATATTACTATATTATAATATTAATCATAATATTAATCAACAGGTTTAGATTACTTTTACGTTGATTTACCATATTTTCCGGACTATAAGTCGCTCCGGAGTATAAGTCGCACCAGCCAAAAAATGCGTAATGAAGAAGAAAAAAACATATATAAGTTGCACCGGACTATAAGTTGCACTTTTTGGGGGAAAAGTATTTTACAAATCAGAGGCCAGGAACCGACATTTCATCTTGAAAGGCAAGTTATAGAATAGAAAACAACAGGCTGTTAACATTGCATATGAACAGTTCTTCAAATAACGATAGCATAAACAACAGAACAGAAGAAGTTTACCAAACTGTCCATCTCACTCTAAATCACTAAATCCATTTAATTATTCATCCTTGATGTCATTTCCTAGCAACTCCATGACCTCCAAAGGTAAACAGGGCGGCGCTTCCTCTTCTGTGTAGCTGTCATCAGACTCAGCATCAGTTCCAGTCAGAATTATTCTGGCCTTTTTGAATCCCAACAGGATGGTTTCAGTTGTCACTGAAGTCACTTAAATTTTTAATTTTCAGTAGTAATGGTGCGATCGACAGACATGATACCAGACAGAACAGCGGCTCTTTCTGCAGGAGACATGCGCAGTAGAGCCAAAGTGACAGTGGTTATTTAAATACATTCATGCAGTGGTATGGGAGTAATAGGAGTAGCAGATACTGGCACACAAGCCTAGAGCGCCCTCTCGCAGTGGTCAGTATGAAATTTTTAAAATATAAGTCGCATTGGAGTATAAGTTGCAGTACCACCCAAACCATGAAAAAAGTGCAACTTGTAGTCCAAAAAATACGGTAACTTAAAAATAGTTTAAACAGGATTCTTTTTTTTTTTTTTTCTCTCACTCTGCACTGTTTTAGGTGAGTGCCCAGAAGGAGGTGGAGGAGAGTGTGCAGGTTTTCTCAGACCTGGTGCGCTCCATCCAGAGGACCCAGGCCGAACTGGTGATGGTGATCGAGGAGAAGCAGAGGCAGACTGAGCAGTGGGCTGAGGGACTCATCAACCATCTGGAGCAGGAGATATCCGAGCTGAGGAGGAGGCACGGAGACCTGGAGAATGTGGCACGAACTGACCACATAAATTTTCTAAAGGTGAGACCAGAGTATTTGTGTTTGAAAATGACTTTGGTTGAATGATAACAAGGATTTCAAAAGTATAATGCTGCCTGACCTAACTTGACTTGTACCAGTGATGTTATCAATTCAGAAAGGCTTACCTGGGAGCTGAATTAATATGAGGAGGAGTTTAGATCTGGAACTAGAGCCTACCACAGAGGTGCTGCCAGTACCAGTGCAAGGACTAAAAATAGACTTTATTTTCCTAAAAATAAAAAAAAAACTGCTGTATGACAAAATGTAGTATGCAGCTGTTATTTATGTCAGGGAATGACAGAACAACTTCATATAAATATAAGTTCAAACATTTTGAGACTTTCTGGACCAACTATGACCAGTAAAAAGTCTTATTACATCAATTAAGATGTCCAGTTAGGACACAGATATTTAATCCCAGTATTGGTATTAATGCTTCCCTAATATTGAAACATATACAAACATGAAGGTCACAGGGTTAGTCAGATGGGTGCATTCACCACAGCTATTACCCAAGCACCTTTGAATAAGACATTCATTTTAGGTTTGTAAAAACAGTGGTTTGAGGGCCTCATTTGGCACCTGGGCCATAATTCGAACACGCCCTGACCTATCAGCCTGTGCAGAGGATTTATGGGGAATTAGGTTCAACATAAAGCAAATGGATCTGGCACTGTTTTATTTTTCTGTTATCTAAATTTTAATTAAACCTGATTTTTAAACCAAAGCCAGGGTAACATGGAGTGCATTTGTTAAGCCTTATTTGTGTGTTTTGTCAGAATTTCCCGGCCCTGAGCTGCCCTCCTGTGGTCAGAGACTGGTCTGACACTCGTGTTCCCACTGACACGTGTGTGGGGATGATCCGTAGGTCTGTGTCTAAACTGGAGTCGACTCTCAACGAAACCATCCACAAACTCATAGACAGCGGTAGGCCTCAAAGATCACTACATCATCAGATTTCTGTTTCATCTATTTATTTATTTATTTATTTAAGAATTCAATTTGTTTTTCAGAGATCAAAAAGATCCAGAAGTACACAGGTAATCAGTCACACAAGTGCAAGAATCAAATGTGTTAACCAATGTAGCTTGTGACCGTGTCGTCACACCTCCTAGAATATTCACTTAACTTACACAATTTTTAGATCCATACATTTTCTTCCACTTATCGGGCCAGGTCACGGGGTCAGCAGTCTAAGCAGACTCCTGGATTTCCCTCACCCCAGATACTTCCTCTTGCTCCTCTAGTGGGACCCCAATGCATTCCCAGGCCAGTTGCAGCGTGTCCTGGATTTGCCCCAGGACCTCCTTCCTGTGGGACATGGTCAGAAAACCTCCCTTTGAGGCATCCAGCTATTTTAAGATACAAAATACTAAATTTAGCCTTTATTTGTTATATCTAAAGTGAAATGTATTTACCAGCAGTGACACACTAGCGTATTGGGTTTTTCCACAGCTCTTCTGTTTACTTTTATAAATCGTTTGTGGTAATGCTGCTCAGTGGATGTTTTGCAGTGTATTTTGCTATCTTACAGTGTGATGCTAACCTTAACCTTGTATGATACTTTTTGCTAATATGTGCTGTAGATGGATTTCTTTGTGATGTCACAGACAGACTGCTCACAGACAGACACACAGACAGACACAGACAGATACACACACAGACAGACACACAGACAGATACACAGACAGACACACAGACAGACACACAGACAGATACACACACAGACACACACAGACAGACACACAGACAGATACACAGACAGATACACAGACACACAGACAGACACACAGACAGACACAGACAGACACACAGACAGACACACAGACAGATACACAGACAGACACACAGACAGACACACAGACAGACACACAGACAGACACAGACAGACACACAGACATAGACACACAGACAGACACACAGACACACAGACAATACACACAGACAGACAGACAGACACAGACAGACACACAGACAGATACACACAGATACACACAGACACACACAGACAGATACACACACAGACACACAGACAGACACACAGACAGATACACACACAGACACACAGACACACAGACAGACACACAGACAGACACACAGACAGATACACAGACAGACACACAGACAGATACACAGACAGACACACAGAGACACACAGACAGATACACAGACAGATACACACAGACACACAGACAGACACACAGACAGATACACAGACAGACACACAGACAGACACACAGACAGATACACACACAGACACACACACAGACACACAGACAGATACACAGACACACACAACAGACACACAGACAGACACACAGACAGACACAGACAGATACACAGACAGATACACAGACAGACACACAGACAGATACACAGATACACAGACAGACACACAGACACAGACAGACACACAGACACACAACAGATACACAGACAGACACACAGACAGAGACACAGACAGACAGACACACAGACAGACACAGACAGATACACAGACAGACACACAGATACACACAGATACACAGACACACACAGACAGATACACACAGACAGACAGACACAGACAGACACACAGACAGATACACAGACAGATACACACAGACACACAGACAGATACACAGACAGACAGACAGACACAGACAGATACACACAGACAGACACACAGACAGACACACAGACAGACACACAGACAGACACACAGACAGACACACAGACAGATACACAGACAGACACACAGACAGATACACAGACAGATACACAGACAGATACACAGACAGACACACAGACAGACACACAGACAGACACACAGACAGATACACAGACAGACACACAGACAGACAGACACACAGACAGACACACAGACAGATACACACACAGACAGATACACAGACAGACACACAGACAGACACACAGACAGATACACACACAGACACACAGACAGACACAGAGACACACAGACAGACACACAGACAAATACACACACAGACAGATACACAGAAAGCAGCATTCCCACGGTACTATGTAAGGTTGTTGTGTTGGGAATTGCATAAACAGATGAGAGAATCGTTGGCGGATGTTCAACGCCATGGACATCATCCATTTGCCCAAAGATAAGATTGTAGCCGTAAAGCGTTGACCCTTCAGATAGCTCATTGGTTTTAAACTTTTCTGTACACACATTCAATTCTGTTGATGAACTGAGTGTAACAGACGTAATTTTATTCAACTTTGATATCAGTGGATAATTTTGACATGGTAACATTCAGACATGACAAAGCATTCCGAGTGAATAAACAACAGTGATGGTAAAACAAGGTGCTGGTGCAACCTGAGATGTAGCTTGCTAGCCTCCCTGCAGCTACAGAATATAAAGTTATTATGAGAGCAAATGAAACCATTAAGATCTAAACACGACATGATATGTTATTCTAAAGGGTGTCAGCAAGAGTACACAAACCACGCAAAAGTCTACAAGCGACTAGGAAACCGGTTTTAATCATACACTGTACAGAGCTCCAGTAAGATGTGTAATGTTAACCACTCTGCCGCTTAGCATCTGGGTCCAGTCAAGCGGTAATGGAGGGAAACGCGCAGATTTTTTACATTCAAATAGCTCTTATTCAGAAACTAGAGGGACTATTGAAATAAGTAAGGTATCAGAATGTAGGAAAGAGTTAACACTCCAACAGGGTAAAGTTAAACCTGTGATATTCTTTCAAGTTGTTGATAAAAAATTTAAAAACTCATGTCGGTAACGGAGGGAATAAAATATGCAGCACTTTTTGGGCAATAAATACAAACAGTGATAACTAGCGGTTCTCACTTACATATCCTTAACAAACTGGTTTGAATATTTGCTTAATATAGTTTTCTACCATATGGTACAAGATTAGGTTGTAAAACCTCTTACTTTTTGAGTAATGAGATTTTTTATTAAGAAAGATCATGGAAACAGAGGGAAAAGTAATGGAGGGAAAATTGTGCAAGCAAGTAGAAGGTGCATGATTTTACATAATTTGTCAAGCTTTTTTCTTCCGAATACTTTAATATTACTTCAAAATGAAAAGTAACTATTTCTATAAAATATGTCAGTCCTTCCAAGCAAATTTTTATCATTTTAAATAAATTTTGTGTGTACCTTCATCAACAGTTCAAAGATCAAATAACATAAGATATGATGAAATACATCAATTTATTTACATGATTTGAAGGTCTTTGAAATTTGGGAAATATTTTTTGTTCCATGTTTCATACATGGTATTTATAAAACGTATGTAACTTTAGAACCAAAAATGGTACAGAAAAAAGGTCAACAGTTTCATAAACTAGAGTACATATGTATCTGTTGAATACATTTCTATATCAGATGCATTAACTTGAATTTTTGGCCTTGCTGTTTACTTCTGCTTGACCGGGCCCATCTCTAGCTCCCCGGCTGAGCGCACGTCTCTGAATGTTTGTAAACAGGAAACCCATCTGTGCTAGCCAACGCTATGCTAGCATTTTCTTCCCTTTTATACCTCAAACAAATCAAGGTTCAAAGTGTTTTTATAAACTTTACCAAGACATTATGTAGAGGTAATGAGGTGTTTGGGTAATGCTCAAGTGGAATATCCAAACAAGTTACAAAAACATAGGTATTTAGTATTTCGAAGCAATAAACAAAAAAGACAATAAACATTTGGGCTCCACTTTCCCCATGTGTCTGCAGCCAGACCCTCTTGACATACTCTGCTACAACTCTACCACGCCGCCATATTGGTTGTAGTTGTAAATGTAAACTAATTAAAAACCACTGAAATACGCTTTGATTGCCTAAATATCAGCATTACATCAGTTTTAGGGTTATTTTGAGCTTTGACCTTGAATAACTTTCCATTAAAGTCCATGAACTGCCATAGAAAAACATTTGATAGAACCAATATGGCGCTGACTGACCTGATACTCATGTAGAATCTGTGCCAGTTTAACCTGCATGACATTATTTGGCAGGTTCTTACAAATGCTAGGCTAACATGCCCTCCCCTGTTTCAGTGGACGTGACACTGGACCCGGACACGGCGAACCCCTGGCTGCAGCTGTCCCAGGACCGTCGACAGGTGCGGCATTTGGGGGCTTGGCAGGACCTCCCCGAGCAACCTGCCCGCTTCGACACCGTGGTCATCGTCCTCGGCAGGTGCGGTTTCAGTTCAGGACGCCATTACTGGGAGGTACAGGTCGGAGACAAGGATGACTGGTACCTGGGCGTGGCTAAATCCTCCGTCAACCGCAAAGGCAGGATTTCGGTTAGTACAGCGCAAGGCTACTGGGCTCTGGCCATGAAAAAGAGCCAAGGTTACCGCGCGTCCACCACCCCCCCACTGCTGCTCAGCCTGGACCAGAAGCCCAAGAGGATTGGGGTGTACGTGGACTACGAAGAGGGGCAGGTTTCGTTTTATGACGTGAAAAACAGAACGCACATTTTTACATTTAAAGATTCGTTCACGGAGAAGATCTTTCCGTTTTTTTACCTGTATTGCTGTGATAAGGCATCTGATACTATGGTCATCGGCCCTGCGCCAGAGAGGGGACAGAGCAAGAGCTAAGAAGAGAAACTATCAACAAACTATCCAGAGACTGTGAAAATAAGGGAAGAGGTTGCGTTTCCATTGTAGAATTTAATTATGTTATAATTTTAGATGGAAGGCAGGGACTTAGCCTGATTCATCAGTTGGTTTCACTTTGTCGAAACCGTCTGACCTCGCATTAGGATTGATTCGCTCGACAGTAGGCAGGTACTTTTAACCAATTTGGTTGTGACATAAGTAATGTGCCACTAATGGGGCTAACTGGTACATTAAGCTTTTCCCAAATCCCGTAGGAAGAAGGGCAATAACGTCTTTCCCCTTGATAAATTTCACCAAACATTCTCTTTGTTCTCGCTTTAAATCCTCGATTTTGGGAATCGTTGCCAACACAGAATGTATGGCTTCGTCTACATCCATCTCAACCACTTTGTTTATTGTTGTGCTGTACCACAAAAAGGACCCAGACAGGCACTTGAGTTTGACGTCATGGCTTCACAGCTCTTCATTGATTGACCGGTGAGCGGTCTGCAACATCCGGGGTTCTTGCAAACGGTCTAACGTATTCCGATTTCTGACCTAATCACTGGAGAGAAATTAAATTGAGTGTAGGCACTAGGTGGCGCCAGCCTGGCTAGGGGCTTATGTGACTCTATAGGAGATTTACTGTTTTTGAAAGAAAAAAACATACCCAAACACCCAAATTTATGAACCTCAAATGCTGAAACTTATGATTATTTGTTAGAGATTAGTTCCAAAAACTGTAACATGTAAACTGAAAACAATCATGTATAATTCACCACTTTCTGAAGCTAAGAAAATATAATTACATGTTTAAGATAACATAGGTGACATTGAACTTTGTACCAGTTTTTGTTTCATGTGGATAGTCTCAGTAATTATTGCCTGACTGGCCAGTCCCTTCTACATTCAGTTTGAATCCAAAAGGGTCTGGTACTGGACCACAGAGCGTGAAAATCCACCATCTGAACTTGGGAGCATGTGTCTCAAATGCAGAAGACATCTCCTCTGAAAATCCTCGAATCAAACAAAATAAATAACTTATTTTTCTACTTTTGCTTCTATTGCTCCTGCAGAAATCTATGCTGTTTCTTTCTTTTCATTTTTTTTTGAACATGCAAGCACCCATGTTTGTTTTGACATTGTCTCTCTGATTGGTTAATCCGCCTGTCAATCACTCCTAGCTGAAATTGGGCACATGGGACACAGTTCACAGTCTTCAAAGTTTTGTGAAAGTGTGTGGTTTGGCTGGACAGGTAACAGTAAAATATTAACCATAAACCAGGTCAACAAATCTGCAATCTGACACAACCTATTAACTGTAATTATAGACTTACTAGACCGAATTTATTCATGTAATAGGCTTTGAGTTTCAGCTTCCTGTTACATTTTCGGAGACATCTGGATCGATAATTTTCAGACTGTGGAATATGATGACACTATACTCCCAGCTTGGGAGGAAGAGCCAAATATTGTAGAAACTTGTAGCACTTTTATGATGTTTAAGTTTCCTTTTACAACAAATAGCATTTTAAATATCATTGGAAAATACTTTTGCTTTGACAGTTTATTGTCTTAAATCCATTTTTTTTTTTTTTTTTGAATGATTTGAAAGTTGTCATCCTGTTTGAATGCATGTTAATCATACTCAAAATGAAATTGTAAAAAAAAAATACCCTGTTTCTATAGTTTACGTAAATAAATTGTAAAGAGTTTTTTGTTTCTTTGTGTTTTTTTTTTATTTTATTTTTTTTTTTTTTTGAGTTTCGTTTTCAGTGAAATGATGACACATTACCACTTTGTTATAACTTATTTTAGTTGTGGGATCAGGCAACCCAGATAAATGGCTCATTCTGCTTTTTGATTGGATAATCAACTTGAAACGCCAAGAACATCTTTTTTTTGTTTTGAAAAAAAATATTGATTCTTTGATGCACCAAACCAGAATGATGAGTTTTGTAAAGTTTTTTTTTGTTTTTTGTTTTTTGTTTTTGTTTTTGTTTTTGTTTTGTTTTTTCTTTTGGTTTTTTGAGTTTCGTTTTCAGTGAAGTGATGACACATTACCACTCCTACCACAGTGGTTGGTACTGCCCCAGTTGGAGGACTAACTATTGTCTTGAAAAACATGTCAAGGACAAAATAAAACTGCAAGTTAACAGCCGCAGCCTTCACAGATTTGCACATACATTGAATACGGCAAGTGATTTTTTTTTATTTCCTTTTTCTCAAAATTATTACAATCAAAGTTCCAATAATAGACACTGCAGTAGAGGTAGTTGCTGTTGTGGGGAGTTTTGGATGTGCATGTGAAGATGACTCATTTGGGTTTGTTGAGGCTTGTACCACGGAAATGTTTCAAACTAGTTCAAAGTCGTATTTGATATAATTTGAAATAGTATTCGCAAATACATTTAAAAAGGTAGTTTGGGGCAATTCCTGGGCATGCTCGTTGAATGGAATAGTTAATTTCTAATATTTTTGATATAATATAAATAATGATTTGAATGAAGATAAGAAGGATCATAAAAAAATATAAGAAATTACAAGAATTCTTGTTACATTATTTGGCACAGTGGCGCAGCACCCTCACCTCACCATGAGAAGGTGTCCGCTTCAGTTCTCCTTTTGGGTGAAGTCTTTATTTGTAGCGTTTGCATGTTTATGTAACTAGGTGATTAAAGCTGCACAACTTTTCTGATTGTCTCCATTGGGATGTTATTGCTTTTCCTACAATGTTCCATAGTTTGGCATTAAACTCTGTCTCTATAGAGCTAATCAGGTGATGTTTGTATTGAATAAATGCAAGACAGATCAGTTAAATGCCACACTGTTGATCATTACAAACAAAGCAAGAACATCTCCGTACCTGATTTTTACTGTCTGAAAAACATGAAAAACAGAACTAGTTCAATCAGTTTGCAATGGTCCAGTTATTCCTCATTTACTTTATGCATTTTGAGCATCCTAATTATTCATCATGATGACTTTATCAGCACCTTTCACAATTTTCAGAAACCAGAGTGGAGTTTTTCTACCAGGGTAAAGCTAACAACATCTAGAATGCTAACAGTGAAATTCCTGATTATCAGACAATAAATCTATAAATAGACGCAGCCAGTACAGAGCTTACTAATTTTGACCTCAAGAGCTGCTTATACAATACATCTGTACTGGAGTGAATTTTGCTCAGATACATGGAAAAGGCGTCTTTAAATGCATTTATATTCTTTCAGAATTTAAATAATGTCTTCCATCAGTGAACTGGGCCTGCTCCCTTCAGACCAGTTCCTCTGCTCCATTTGTTCAAACATCTTCACTGAGCCGGTAACTACTCCGTGTGGACACAGCTTCTGTAAGTCCTGCCTCAGTCTCCAATGGGGCGAAAGCCACTTGTGCCAGTGCCCCACGTGTAACAAAAGATTCTGTGCCCCCCCTGAAATGAGCACCAACTCAGTCCTGGAAGAGGTGTCTGTCCAGCTAAAACGGAGACGAGTCGAGATTCTGGAAGTTGTAGATGGATCGCTTCCAGTTGACTGTGATGTATGCACGGGGAAAGCCTTAAGAGCGGTGAAATCCTGTTTGGATTGTCAGGAATCATACTGCTCTGTGCATTTAGAGGCCCATCACATATTCCCAGCACTGATGAGACACAAGCTCATCGACGCTGTGGACAACATGAAAGAGAGAGTTTGTCCCATTCATGAGAAAGTGTTGGATTTGTATTGTCGTGAAGATGAAGTCAGCATCTGCAGACTCTGCCTGGACAGGGACCACAACATGCACGTCGTCGTGTCTATGGAGGAGGAAGGAGCACAGCAGAAGGTAACTTATTTACATTTATGTATTTATAAAGATTTAAAGGAACTGTATGTAGCCTGCACTCTCACTGGGTTAAAAAGGAAGTACAATCAAGTTTGACTGTAGTTTTTGCCTAATGACAAGGGGCTCACACATGGGACTTAATAATCTCTAGACCACTATATGACGGTAGGCATGGCCAGTCTGATAGGTCAGTCCTACCACCAAAACATGTCAGATAAATAAGCTATTTAGTTTTGACTTATTAGAAGAAAACTCAAAGTTTTTTATAGCTGATTTTAGTTGCAGGATCTGGCAACCCAAATAAATGGCTCATTCTGCGTCCTGATTGCATAAACAGCTTGAAGCTCTAGACAAAGCCATCATGTCTTTTTTTGTTTTGAAGGAAAATATTGATTCTTTGATGCACCAAACCCAAATGGTGATTGCCGGGAGAGTTGACAAAATACAGGAGTTTTATGACTCTTCAGTGAAAAGAAAAGTAAGTAACCTCCATGAAAATATGCAACTTATATATGACAAGTTAGAGTACTAATTACTGTTCAGATACCTGTATTTTTCTACTTTTTTTTTTTCTCAACGTGTTGTCACAAATGCCACATGGCTGATTTAAACAATATTTAAGGCAAAGGAGAAATTCAATTTGTCAACTGGACAAACATTTATTTGTGGACACTGCCTTATATCTGCCTACAGGTAGAAGCTAACTAGACACTACACTGAAACTACTCTGAAACTACTCAGTAAATCAGAAAATAGTGTAATAGGACCTTTAACACAAAAGTTTGGACACATCATGTGCATTTTATACTCAATAAGTAGTTTCAGTGTAGTTAGCTCCTCCCTTCAGGCAGTATCCACCAGCATTCTGATCAGAATTGAAGAAGCAGCTTGGATGAGCTGCAAAATGTTTTTGACTTAAAAAAAAAACAAACAAACAAAAACATTTGTCTAGTTAACAAATTGGATTTCTCCTTTGCCTTGGATTCTACCTGGACAACTGAGGGATTCTACACACAGTAAGTATTTAACACAGGCACTATCCCACTGGACAAACAAATAACAGAATTTTTAATTTGAACTTCAAAACTTTCCATATGAACTTAAAATAATCAAAGTAATACTCATTCTAGGGTTACATGTAGCAGCTATTCTATACCACAAATCTACGCTATTGGCTTTGAATTTTTCATATCTGTTTGTAGGAGATGGCCAAGAAGGTGAACCAAAGCATGGATGCCATAATGGACATATTCAAGAGAGACATGAAAAAGGCTCAAACCAAAGTAAAAACAAGTGTTCAGGAAAAACACACAAAGTACGAGGAACGAGTGGAGGGAATTATCAAAGAGTTGGAAGAAGACCTAGAAAAACTGCGGCATAAACATTCAGACCTTGAAGAGCTGAGGCAAAAGGAAGACCCACTATATGTACTGCAGGTAATACTTTTAGTTTGTCTATCTCCAAATAACAAAACGCACTGTTTCACCTTGTGATGTCATGTAGTGGTAGCTTTCAAGTTAACAGCTACCATTTACCTTTAGTTCAGTAGAGATTGGCAATTCCAGGTCTGAAATTATCCAGTGATTTTAATGAAGGTGTATGGAGTTTAAAAACACATGGGGCACTTCCTGTATTACCATATGACATCACAAGGTGAAACTGAGTATTTTCAGTTTAATGTGCAGGATTTGTGTGTTAAACGTGTGAATGAAACAAAACACAACTCCAGATACATTTGTGATGAGGAAACAACATTATAACATAAATCAGAAAATAGTGTAATAGGACCTTTAACACAAAAGTGTGGACACATCATGTGCATTTTATATTCATACGATTATTTTGAGTTTAATTTTTGGTTGCTACATTCCATGTGTCCATTTACAGTTTTGATGCCTTCAGTGAGATTCTGCGATGTAAATTATCATGGGAATAAAGAAGAAGAATAAATTAAGTATGTGCAAACTTTTGACAGTTTAGAGTGCTGATTTTTAAGAATTAGTTTCTTAAAAATCAGTTTCAGTGGTCAGGTTTCACAACTGCAATGGCGAAAAAATAAAATAAATAAATAAACTTGCAGATAGCAGTTTTAAGTGATGTAAAACTATGATAAATATTTGATAAAAACATGAAAATCTCCCAAAATGTAATTTTTAAGGAGAAGGTTCATCACCTTCTTATCTGCATGGGGATCTGCTTTGTCTGAAATGCTCCACAGTATGGCTTTAAACAGACATACTGTATATATCTTACATATTTAAATACATTTGTCTAATTATTTTTTTCCCTATAGACGCTGCAGAGAATGAGCAGCCTGTCTGAGATGAAGGACTGGACTGACGTGGTGCCCTGCTCAGATCTTTGTGTGGACACTGTGAGAGTCGCTGTGGCTAAACTCGTGTACAAATTTCACTCTATTCTCAAAATCCTGACAGAAGAAGGTACGCTACTTGTCTCTATCAAAGACTAGACCTTTGTTTTGGTTTAATATTATCATCTTATATTATATATTCTTTATTTTATCTTCTTTTTTGCTCCAGAGATCACCAAAATGAAGCAATACAAAGGTAAGGTCAACGCATTTGCAGTAGTCCAAAGTTATTCCTCATTTGCATTCTGAGCATCCTAATTATTCACCACAATGACTTTATTTTACAGCTTTCAGAGACTAGTATTGCTGTCACAGTAAAGGTGACAGCAGCTAGCATGCTAACACACACTTCCTGATTATCAGACAGTAAACTTTCTAATTAGATGAATAGAGGACACAGCAGACCTTTTTTGAGCTACTTATACAATTTATATCTGTACAATTTTGCTCAAATACATGGAATAAATCACATAAATTACCTTTAGATTAGGTTAGTGATTTTATACAAATATCATGTGGCAACTGTAGTTTGACAAACAAAAATAATAATTATTAAATGATGACATAGTGAGCCAGTGGCAGCTCCACTCAGCAGTGCAGCTTTGATTAGTGAAGGTTGGTTTTACTTCTAAAATTATTCTATCAACACAGACATTTACATCAACAGTCTGGTGTAATAAGAGATTTGCTTCAGGTGTTTTGTGGAGTGGGTAAGACTGTTTTTAGTGGCAGGATAACTATGGCCATTGACATGCACTAGTCTAGCACCAGCGACCTCTGCAAATACAAGGACTGGATGGAATATTTTAAAAAAATGTCTCCACACGTCTCCAACACTCGAAATGATGTCCTATGTCCAAAATTCTGGTCTTTCTCTTTAAACTTTTCTATCTTCATGGAGACCAAACCAGACCTCACAGTTAGAATGCCTGTTTTCAAGGTATTTTTGAGCTCTAAAAACACCTGTAATTTAATAATTGTAAGGTAGAGCTGTTTAATGTTATACTGTGGATTATTCCAGGCAGAGCAGTGACATCTCCATAGAAATAAGCAAGTGACGTATCCCCAACCAAAAAGTGACACCTTTAAGTAACAGAATTGAGTACTTCTTCCGCTGCTGCTATAAACTATATTCTCTTCTTTTCAGAGTCATTAACCTTTGACCCTAACACTGCTGGCCGCTGTATTTTTGTGTACTACTGTGACAAACGCATCAAGTATCACAAGTACCCTACCCAATCGGTACCAGACAGCCCCCTTAGGTTTATCCCACCGAGGGTCTTTGCATCTCAGGGCTTCACCTCCGGACGCCATTACTGGGAGGTCCAGGTCGGCCTCAGAAGCAACTGGAACGTTGGTGTCGCCAAAGAAACAGTATCCAGGGACTCTGACATTATTGCAACAGCAACACCCGGCAATGGATTTTACGTGATCAAAAAAGATGGTCTTACTTATAGCGCAAACTGTGTACCGTCCAAAGTTCTCAATTTGGCCCCAAGACCAGACATAATTGGAGTGTTTTTGGACTACGAAGATGGGAGATTGTCTTTCTATGATGTCAACCGAAAAGTACATATTTATTCTTTTATGGGAGAGAAGTTTATGGAAAAGCTGTACCCATATTTTTACTTGTACAGCAGAGGAAAGAAGTCTGAACCAATGGAATTGTGCACCATCTATAAGTGCAAAGATTCATTCAGTGATGTTTTTTTCAAAATGGAGGAAAAAGAGAAACAGGAAATCTCCCCCAGTGTGAGCAGAGAACAAGCAGGGCCCTCTCAACCTGTACCAAAGCTAGATTAGGAAGGTAGAGGTAGGCCTGTCATGATATCACACTTATATAAATATAGGAGATAATACTGAAACAAATTTATGCCACAGAGACAATAACCCAAGACCAGAGTTAAACCACAAGAAGTATTCTAAATCTACAATATTGTTAAAACCCAGGAGCTGCAATAAGTAAACAGCAGACTGAAACTCTTTAGTACGTAGTTTGCATCTGTAATGAGTCATGGAAGTTATTAATTCATCATATATATATACATACATATATATATATATATATATATATATCATATATATATATATATATATATATATATATATATATATATATATAATATATATATATATATATATATATATATATATAATATATATATATATATACTCAGAGTAGTGCAAATATAATGAACACATGTAAATACTGAGCCCCTAAATATATTCATATATTGAACAATAAATCGATATAGTAATTATTGTGACAGAAAGGAGCGTAGTACGCAGTCGCAAAAGGAGAGTAGTACTTTGTTACATTTACTTGAGTAGGTTGAAAATGTATTTTTTGAAGTTAATGTCAACTGAGCATCATACTCATACTCCTGTTTGAGTATTTGACACTGAAAAGTACTTTTAGTCGAGTAAAGGTTTTGGTGTTCCCACTGTACAAGTGATTAAAGCTTTATGTTACACAATATTAAAAAGTACAGTATGTAACTTTCAGGAGGTGGCATCCACCTGCCAGATTTCATGGAAAAAAAAGTTACTTCCACATATTACATTCAGCATGGACATGGGTTTTATGCCACAGTGGAAGACTACTGTATATCTAAAGGAAAAGGAGTCACATTTATGGTGATGCAGCCCATGCACATTCATGCTCTAACCTGGTACCTGCATCTTCCCTATGACTTTTGTCTTGGCTAATGTTTTGTTGTGTACTGTCCCTGTACAAAAAAAAAAAAAAAAAAAAAAGAAGACCATGCCACATTTTTCAGTGGAATAAAAACAACCAAAATGTTGATCTCTGGCAAAAGAGTTACATACTGTGGCTTTAAATGATTTGAACTTTTGTGCTGATTACACTCCTTCTTCAAATATGATTTATTTTTTCCTCATTTTTGTGTATAAACTTTGTGCATTATGTTTTGGTCTTAACAATAACTTCACATCATGAATCAGATACTGTTACTCTTATAGTTACTCATGGAGTCGCAGAATAGCAAAATAATAAAGGCTGAATTTTTGTTAGAAGCACACTTTGTATGTAAGGTAAAAGGAACAACCATAGACTGTATATATAAATGGACATAGCTATTGTGCTCCCAATAAGAAGAGAGACACTTTCGGCTCCATCAACTCTGGCTCCAATTGACTTTGTATTGAGAAAACATTGCCCCTCTCTCTCTGTAACTGCTGCAGTGAGTCTCGTCATTTTGGTCTTAAAATGTTAATCCTTTCTACATGATCCTGGTGTTTTTTATTTTGCTGTTTTGTACATAAAAAATCCTCCTGATATGGACCTGACTCCAAATTCACCCCATAACTGCGATTTGGCTGGAGCCGAACACTATGGGAGACGTCACACTCCCTTAGTCCGCTTCTTTATACAGTCTATGTGTACAACTAACTATCTTCCAACGCAAAGGTCAGAGGTGCAATACCAGCTCCTGACTACTGTTGTTGTGTTCTTTAGCAAGACACTCCACTCACCTTGCCTGTGTGAATGGATTTTTTTTTTTTTAATCTGAGGTGCTGTTGTAAACTGTTACTTATTAACAATCATTATCATTTGTTTTCAGCACATGTCCATCTATGGAGTAAGTCATTTAATTGACTGTGTGTGTTGCAATGCTGTTAAGACTGTAGACCTTTGAGATATGGCTTGTCATTTGCTATTATGACTCTGCTGCTGGTAATCTTTTATGCTCATAAATGTGCTTATAACATACACAACTTTTCATAATTTCACAATTCCTTTCATTCAGATACATCTCTCTTTTACTTCTGGGGAATAAAAACTACTTAGCGTTTGGAGTAGTCATTTAGTCTCTTATCTTCTTAGCCACCCAAACATGAATGAATGAATGAATATTTATTCGGACAATAATACATAGAACATAAATAAAAAAAAAAAAAAAAAAAAAAAAAAAACGTAAATACATAGATATAACACAAAAAGTAACTATTTCTATTCTATAATAACAGGCAAAATAAATGTTACGCAGAATTTTCCTTGTGTCCGAAAAAGGAATGGGAGAAAGTAAATACTTATTTAACCCCACCCCTTTTTTCTACCATTCCAGTTTAACAAAGAACACATACAGACTTCTCATTTCCTGCATTTCCTGTACATTATAAGCTATAATTGCACAGTACCTATATATATATATATATATATATATACACACACACACACATATATACACCCATATACATACACATACATATACATGCACACATATACACTAAGCATTAATTTCTTCCGCACAGTATTTTGAAGTAATTAATTTTTTAATTGCCCTTTTGAACACATGTATATTTGAACAAAGTTTTAATTCTATTTTCAAGTTGTTCCATAATTTCACACCACAAACAGAGACACAAAAACTTTTTCTTGTCGTTTGAGCACGAGGCAATTTAAAATTCAACATAACATACATTATGCAATTTCTGATTTCTTTGTTTGTTTGAGAATAGAGGCTTTAAACTTTTTTTTTTATATAGAAAAATAAGCAGTGTATACATAATGCAGTCTACAAAGAACTGTGTTTTACATTCAAGAACTGCATCGTACAAAATTTACAAATAATATAAATAAAAAGTAAAGTAATAAAAAAGAAAGGCGGGGGAAATAAAAGAGGACAGGAAAGGGGGAAATAGTCTCGTGCTTGAATATGTCTTAACTTGTTTATTTTAACGTCACTGGCTCAAGAGAAGTGAGCTGGAAGTGATTCCTGTAACTCGGTCCCGCCCCCCTTTTTATACCCAGCATGCTTTGCAAACACTGACGTCAACTGAGGCAAGTAAGAAGTGAAACAACAGTGAGAGACGAGAGACAGACAGACAAACTATGTGAGTATATGATTTCATTTTAAATATTATAATGTGTGTGTTTTTCTGTGATAAAGGAAAAATGAGGTAGTACTTATTAACTTGACTTGCAATACTTAGGTCAGTAATTCAAGTTTTTTATGAGCAAAACTAAATCAATAAATGAAAAAGATTAATTGATCAAAAATTCTACAAACGTGTTTCTTTTTCTTTTCTTTTTTTTTTTTTTTTTTTTTTGTTGTTTTTGTTTGTTTTTTAATATCACATGTCCTATAATGATAATGTCATTGACTGCAGTTACATGTGCTCTCAAAATCAGGTTATCATCAGCTCTTTGGAGTGATCAAAATACCCCTAAACTATAAATACCTATTTTTTGTACGAATAAAAACTAAACATATATAGAAAAAAAATCATATAAATAGAGAGAAAAGGATCTAAAAGCCTAAAAAGATTTAAAAAGTAGAAATAATGGTCATGTTTTTTATATTTCAAAATACTTTCAAAACAAAAGTTCATTCCAAATATTCATGTCATGTTATAATTTTATCTCTGTCTGTGTTATTTCTGTTGTAATGTGTCACTTGGTTTGATAGCATTATCCTTATTAGCTTGATAAGAAATAATATGTGGTCATATGACTCTGATCCATTGAAACGTGTTCGATTTGTGTTTGGAGAAGTCATATCTGATTTACACAAGTGATGCAACCCTGGAGTGTTAGTGTGTGACCAGAGCTGACTTGAAAACAAAAGCAAAACATTATTAAAAAAAAAAAAGAAAAAAAGAAAAAAGAAACACATAACGTCAAATAAAATAACGTCAAAAGAATAATAATCATGTTTAGACTTATTATTTTCGTGTTCAATAACGTCGGACCAGTGCAGACCGTTGTTGTGTCCTTGGGCAAGACACTTCACCCGCCTAGTATGAATGGATTATTAGAAGTAAGATATCTTCAAACAGATAAACACAAATCATTTAACTTAGTACAATCTCTCTATATATAGTGTAATTAAAAGGTGCACTATGTGACTTTTCTGGTGAATGGTGAATGTCCTGCTTGTCTCCATGGAGATTACCTGGAATATTTTACAGTAATCCTATAGTATTCATTTGGGATATCTTCCATTTATGCATGTACAGGAGTTTTTGTTGCTCACTTCTCCACAGATCTCACCTGTAACTTGGCCTGGTGGTGATAGAGACTGATAAGATGAGTCTAAAGGCAAAGCAAGAACATCTCTACGGACACAGAAAACTTACCTGGTGCATCTTTACTTTCTTACCTTTTTTTTGTTTGTTTGTTTGTTTGTTTGCAGTGAAGCCCCCTCCCGGCCTGAGTGCCCATCGAGACCCCATGTCCGAGCGCCCGCTGTGCTGTATCTGTCTGGAGGACTTCACCCTCCCAGTGGCTCCCCCTTGTGGACATGTCTTCTGCCTGAGCTGCATTGGAGACTACTGGAGGGTGCAGGAACTGTGTGTGTGTCCTCTGTGTAAAACCTGCTACAAAACAAGACCGCAGCTTCAGATACTTCACACCAGCTCCTCTGAATGTGGAGAGGGAGAATGGTGAGTGCTGCTTTCAGATGTCTCGTCAAATTAAAGTGGAACTAAACATGAAATACACTTTTTTTTATATCTACTTAACTATAGCAATGTTATTATTATTATCATTGATTATTATTGATACTGTGCAGCTGACATCATCATGCTTGTCTCTATGGAGATGTTATTGCCTTGCCTGGGCCGCAGTGTTATTAAACCTTTACTGAGGAAAGCAAGATCTGTGGAGAGTAGGGGTGTAACGATATCGTCACGGTATCAACCTCACGCTACGATATTTATTGCGATATCATGGGAAAGCTCACGATATGGTGGGGAGGCTCAAGATTAGGGATGTAACAATATCCAAATCTCTCTGTACGATATTTTCATGATATACATCTCACGGGACGATATTATTGCGATATTTTGTGGAGACTAAACAGCTAAAACTGTGAATATGCTACTTTTTCCTCTTAAAATGCCTTGATAAGACTTAATTCAAAGAACTAAATCTTAAAAGTGCTTAGAACTGTTATTTCTTCTTTTAGTCTGCTTTGAAATGGAGCAAAGGATCATGATCTATGTAGTTCCCTCTGTCTTTTTTTAGCTATTGCTGCACCATAACTCTTATTCTTACTCTAATTTAAGCAAAGACACTTGTAATTCAATATATTGTGATGGTCCACGATATTATTGTGAGAACTTTAATGATATTTCTGTTAGTGTTACATCCCTAGTGGAGAGGCAAGCCCACTCACTAATAATGTATGTTACTCAAGATATTTTTGAGCAATAAAAACACGTTATTGCTTTAAGCTTACATTCATTCAATTACATCTTTATGGAGACAAAAAGGATGATGATGCCCCATTAGAAAAGTTACACACTGCATTTTTAAAGAGCCTATATTATGCCATTTTCTGATCTATGTTATAATATTGTTTCCTCATCAAAAACATATCCATTGTGTGTTGTTTCATTCACATGTTTAACACACAAACCCTGCATATTTAGGCTGTGTTCTAATCTCATACTAAAACACTCTTTGGATCATGTCAAGATTGAACAGAACATGTTTCAGCTTTCGAGATGTAGACAGACTAATAATAAAGGATTACTCAAACATGTGTGAATGAAACAAGACACAACTTCAGGTCTGTTTTTGATGACATTACAGCATGGATTGCAGCTTACAAGAAACAGTTTAGTGTTATATAGGACCTTTTACGATCAATAAAACATAGTACTTCCTCCACTACTGTCTAAAGTTTCAAGTTAATTATCAACTTTGACATGTGATGGTAAAATAAGCTTGTTGTTTTGCAGTGATGCAGAGCTGGTTCCTTTGCGTCCTGGAATGGTCCCCTGTGACCTTTGCCCCTCCCCCCGAGCTGCTGTGAAGTCCTGTGTCACCTGTCTGCGCTCCTTTTGCCCTCTGCACCTACAGCCGCACTACCAGGACGCAGAGCTGGGGCGCCATCTGCTGGTGGGGGTGGTGAAGAACCTGGAGGGGGCGCTGTGTGCTGTGCATGGGAGGAGACTGGAGAGGTTTTGCAAGACCGACCAGACGTGTATCTGCGCCGTGTGTGCTCAGACCGACCACAGGGGGCACCGTAGTGTTACTGTGAAGAGAGAAGCTGCCAAAAAGAAGGTACAAATATAACTACAACAATCTAGGAGTTTGTTGACCTGAAAAGTGTTCAGCATTTTGGAAAATTCTCATACTGATAGACCAGCAAAGAATCAGTGACAAAAAAAAAAAAAAAAAAGGAAGAGAGACAAAAGGAATGTTAAGGAGCCTAGCGATGTATTTATGTTGCACTATCACATTTATTTTGTTTGATTTTGCCAAATTTGTGTCAGTGTGGGTGGTTGGGGGTGAAATGGCGGGGCTTTTTTTTCTTTTTTTTTTTTTTTTGTATTTGTTGTGGTGTTGTGGGTGTTGATTGTTGTTTTATTTTCTAAATGTTATATTCTGTTGTCCTTAATTAAAAAAAAAAAAAAAAGAAAGAATCAGTGACATAACTTTAGGGATGCCACATTGAAGACTATTCAAACTGTTAAATATTAGATTTTTTAGAATAGTTTTGCTTTGATGACATTTCACGTTTTTCAAAATTATTGAAAATTTAACACTCAAAAGTTCAAAAGTGTCATATCTACAATAAAAACTAATGAAAATCTGCAGTAAAATGCCTACCTAAATGTTATGTTTAGCAGTTTTAGATCAATATTGTGGTTTACAGTGAACAAAATCTGAAATAATTATCAAAGCATGTTATAGTTTAATACTAAATACCCCCCAAAAACCTTTATTTATTTTATAATGTATATGTTTACAGGTTCAGCTTTTACACAAACAGACCAAACTGGCTCAGACGATGCAGGAGAGACTGAAGGAAATGGAGGAACTTAAAGCGACCACAGAAATTCCAAATAAAGATGTGATTTTGGAGGTAGAGGGAGAACTCTGTGAGCTACAGAAGAGACTGGAGCGAATAGAGCAGCTCCTACACACAGAGCAAAGCCTACACTTTATACAGGTGAGAGCAGAAGGCTTGTCTCCATGTAGATGTTATTGCTTTGCCTGGAATGTTCCGTGTTATGACACTAAATATATCCATCTAGCATGTATTCATTACGAGTTGCTCAAAAATACAATCATTTCTTCTGTGAATTGGGGCGACTCTCCACAGATCTGAACTGTAATGTATCGTAGTGCTGTGACCTGCCTGTCTCCCTTCTGATAGAAAGGTTTAATCTATACTGTGGAACATTCTAGTTAAAGCAATAACATTTCCATGGAGATGAGCAGACCCTCCACTAGAAATGTTACACAGTGCACCTTTAACATATGCATTCAGAGCATCGTAATGATTCACTGTGAGGAGTCTATAAGCGTTTTTCACAACTTTCAGACCACAGAGCAGAGTATTGCCATCACTGTATAGTTAACAGCAACTAGCATGCTGACAGTGCACTTCCTGGTTGTGATGAGGATGATAAAACACTTTATGATTAGATGCAGACAGTACATAGTGGACTTATATCAAGAACTGCCAATTTCACATCAACTTAAATTTCTTTTTTCTTTTTCTAGAGAGTTCTACTCACAGCTCCATTATGATGGATGGTCACACACAATCAAGCTTTTTGTTCTAATTGTTTTAATTTGTTTTATTTATAAAGCTGTGATTTTTATTGTATTCTATATTTTTATAATATTGGTCAGGGATGAGTTTACATTCAGCCATTCTTCATGTTTTTATTTATATCTCTGCACATTTTATTTTGTTCACGTTATCCATTTATGACAGACAAATACTTTATTAATCTCGAGGGAAATTCAAGTTGTAGGACCTTGTAACCCGAAGTGAGGAGCTCATTCTTCTTTCTGATTGGATGATTTTATGTGAAAGGTTTCTGTAATTGTGAATCAGTAAAATCTATATTGTCTACTTTATTTATTTACTTTATCATAGAGACACAGATAAGTGAAATATGAAAAATATACATACACCGTCTTTGATATACTTGCGTTTTGTTGGAATTGATTGTATTTTTTTTTTACCAATGTTTAATAACAAATATACTGGAACTTAATGGTCCTATATTCTGCAAAATTGACTCTAGTAACAACATCCTAACATGGCTTAAAGCTCACATCAAAAACATGCCTGGAGTTTTTTTGTTTGTTTGTTTGTTTGCGTAATTCTACATTATTCCCAAAAGCTCAAAATGTTATTTACATAATTTGCATAAAAATCTTAAATTGGAATTTATGGTGTCACTTGACAAGTTCAAGAAAATTGTGTGAGTATGGTGACTGAGACCTGTGTATGTTTTTCTTGAGCTGCAAATGGTTTTATAATGTGATATTTTGTGATTTTATCATTTTGTATTGAATTATATTGTATTTGGATTGTGTTGGCTGCTACCTTGACCAGGTCTCTCTTGAAAAAGATATTCTGAATCTCTCAGTGGGACCTCCTGGCTAAGTAAAAATAAAATAAAGTGAAGGTGTATGGAGTTTAAAAACACAGTGGAGCACTTCCTTTTACCGCATGACATCACGAAGTGGAAGAGTATGAGTGTTTCTGTTTGAGAGAAGAACTCAGCCTAAATATGCAGTGTTTGTTTGTTACACATGTGTGAATGAAATAAAACACAAGTCCAGATATGTTTGTCATGAGGAAACGACATTATAAAAGCCCAGAAAATTGTGTAATACAGACCCTGGTGCAATATGATGCATATTTAGTGAGAGAGTCCACTTCCTCTTTGTGTCAGTGTTATTTCTTTACCTGAATATTACATAGTATAACACTGAACTTATGCATCTCACATTATTTCTTTGCGAGCATTTTTATTGCTCTGAAAAGGCTTTAAAAACGTTCTCACTGCGCAGGGTCGCCTCTCCACAGATCTGACCTGTAACTTGGCCTGCTGACACCACCTGCTTGTCTATATGAAGGAAGATAAGTCCAATACCACACTGTGAAAAACTCAAGGCAAAACATCTCCATGGAGACAAGCAGTTGGTGTACCCTCCTCCAGAAAAGTTACACAGTACACCTTTAAATATGACGTGAATTAAGTGATAAGTCTGTCAGTGTAAGCAAAGTGTTTAGCCACATCAAAACACAGAACTGGTTTCACATTGTAGAGCCACACCTTACAGTGGAAAACAAACCTTTTTATTTGCATGACACAACAGTGGATCAAATAAAAAAAAAAAAAAAAAAAAAAAAAGGAGGGAGGAGTTTAAGTAGAAATGAAACTAGAAACAGGAATGAAATCCAAGGCAAGATCATACAGCAATCTTTCTGTGAATTAAAGGTAAGAATACATGATTTTATTAAAAATGTATGAAACAATTGTTGCCCATTTAATTGTGTTAGCTTTTTTATGTAGAAATATCTGCATGGTGAAATAACTAATTCTATTAGGGTAAATAAATGCATGGTCTGGTTTGGGCCTGTGTATGTGTATGTGTATTGCAGCCTAATTGAACATAAAATAATAATATAGGCCTTTTTAACTTCTTTTGAATGTGTGGTGTGTGTTTTGTGTACTTGTGTGTCCAGTTTAACAAGGAAGCAACTCCAAGTGCAGATTCACAAAGTGTAACAATTACAAAGCTAACATCAGAGGTAGGACCTTGGTCCAAAGTCCAGAGGTAAGACCAATATCCTACCTCTGGTATTAACTCTTTGTTTTATCTCAAGTACATCTTTGACCTCAAGTCTGAATCAAGTCCCAAGTCAGAGACAGTTAAGTCCAAGTCGAGTCAGTGGCCCATCAGTGATAAGGAGGGCAGGTAGTCAAAGTGTGTGAAAAAAACACATACAACAGAAATTCAGTTCAAAATTAGTTGAATTAACAATATGAGCTCAATAAATATTTTTTGTATATGAATATATATTAGAAAGATAGATAATAACTATGTAATTAAGGTATTATTGTATTATTATAGGTAGGTATGCTTAAACACAAACAAAACAAACAAACAAACAAAAAATGCAATGATGCACAGTACAGACAGACAGTAGTGTTTGTTGAAATAGTTCAATTCCTAAATTCAAGTAGTCGCGGGAAGAGTTTGTTATAATCTGTTTGAGTTGATCTTATATTTTTATTTAATTTATATTTGCCAAGGTTCAGCTGGTTATTGTAATCCAACAGTGTGTATAGGTTCTGGTCTTATGAATGAAAAGGGGTGGTGTATTTCCTTCCGCGATCATGCGGTGAGTGAGTAGCTCGCCAGCCATCCAGTGGTGGTTTGTGGTATTGCAGAAGGATGAATGATGAAAAAATTGACCTAAAACCGGGTCAATCAATGCCATATTGCATATGTATAGTGCACCTTTAAATATGTAATGCCACAGTCATTAATGCTACAGTTTATCAAAATAGATTAAAATATTCAAAGTGGAAAATGGATCAAAATATTCAAGTTTTTTTTGTTGCGCAACAGGTAGGGATTGGGCCAATTCAAAACGCGATAGCTGCTTGGGCTTTGTGTATAAAAAATAACAAAAAAGTACCTTAAATGTTCAAAGCGGCACAGACTAATGTTTTAAATCAATACAAGGGTCTGTGGCAAAAATTCAAACATTCAAACATGGCAAACATGAAAACTGAGCAGTGTTGGGAGTAACGCGTTATAAAAGTAACGAATTACAGTAATGCATTACTTTTTGCTGTAACGCAGTAATGTAAGGCATTACAGGGGAAAAAATAGTAATATTTTACTCGGTACAAATGTGAGTAACGCGCGTTACAATGTTTTTTAAACCTGTATTGAAGTGGTGGGTTTTTCTTCATACAAATTCGCTTAAATCACCTCGATATCAGCAGCGGTGAAACGCCGGACATGCGCCCTCATAGACCTTCAGGTAACCGCGGGCGAAAGGACTGACAAAGAACTCCACCCTGTTTAGACCTGGTTTAGACCTGGGTCAGTTTTGGTTTAGACCTGGTTTAGACCTGGTTTAGTCCTGGTTCAGTCCATATACAGTGCAAAAGTTATTTTGGTGAGAGTAACTTAAAGTAATGCAATAGTAATGTAATGCCTTGCATTTTAAATGCAGTAATATTGTAATGTAACGAATTACTTTGAAATGACAGTAATAGGTAATAAATAACGCATTACAGTTTCAAAGTAACTTGCCCAACAGTGAAACTGAGTGGGGATTAAACTAAAAAGTCCGCTTATTGGTCGCGCTGACCGTATTGTTTGTATGCGAGGTTAGCATTAGTTTAGCAGCATTTTACATGGGAGTTCACACGTTCATCAGAGTCACAAAAAAAAACAACAACAACACTGTCTTCACTCACTGTTGAGCAGATAATGATGGGGGTTGAGGGTGAATACATCTATTTGGTAGTTTCGGTCAGAATCCAATCCTATCCACTTTATTTATAAAGCACATTTTATACAGGTTCCAAAGTGCTGCACAGTCAAATTAATACAATAAAAGGCAGTAAATCATAAATAAAAACACTAAATAAAAATGTTAAAATGCATAAAGCTAAAAATAATTTATAAAATGATAAAAATAATAATATTAAAGTCGGTTTCCATCCCAAACGATTCATCCAGAGTGAGAGTAGCGCGGGAGGAGAGAGGAAGTGCGATGGAAGTGGCGCTAATTAACGTGGGATACAAAGTCTTTAAACTGAAAATATATCTTAGATTTGTGCAATTTATATGATTTTTTTAACTAAATTGTGCTTAAAAAGTCCTGGTATATTTATATGTGAGTATTTATAAGAATTATAGAAATTTTCTTTTTCTTTCACAGTGGGGCATCAGTTGCAAAAACTGTCTTTGTGTCCATAGGCAAGGCACTTCACCCACATTACCTAGTGTGAATGTGGTGTGTCTGTGAGTGATGGTGGTGGTCGGAGGGGCCAATGACGTGTGGAATGAATAATCCTGAATAATGCTGTAAAGTGTCTTTCAGTGTCCAGAAAAGCTCTGGATAAAGTTGATGCATTATTCGTTATTATTTAACCGTGTGTTTCCATGGAATCATGCAGGTGATGTGCCACCACCAGAAAGTTACACTTTTAACATTGTTTATGGACAAAAAGTTATATAATATTTTAGTCAACATTCTTTGCTAGATGGTAGAAAAACGGCCTTAAGATTAAAACAGATCAAATGTTCTCTTTTTCAGACATGGCGTCCAGTTCTGACTCTCCATCTCCTGCTAACCCTCTGGAGAAGCAGCTCATCTGCTCCATCTGCCTTGAGATATTTAAAGACCCGGTCACCACTAGTTGTGGTCACTCCTTTTGTGAAGAATGTCTGGACAGGAGCTTAAGACTAGACAATTCCTTTTGTCCTTTATGCAAAAACGACGTATACAGAACACCCCAAGTCAATATAATACTGCGAAGTGTAGTGGAGCAGATGAAGAATGAGAAAGAGGAGGAGGAGAAGAGGAGAGAGAGGGAGAAGAAAAATGAAGAGGAAAAGAAAAAGAGGGAGGAGGAAGAATGTGATCCAAAGAGATTCAGGGGGAGACCAGGACAAGTTCCCTGTGACATCTGCACCAAGATGGCCGCCACAAAGTCCTGCCTGATTTGCCTCAGCTCGTACTGTGACGATCACCTCCAAATACACTCGGCTAACAAAAGGTGTGTAGAAACAAACAGTGTGATAAACAATGGCCATACTTTATTATAACCTGCTTTGGTGGGTTAACAACAGTGGTAAAGATTTATAATAGTTCTACAAGTGGAAATGTAAAGTACAAAAATACAGGAAGTAGTGCTCTGCTTAGTTTGTTACAGATTTGATTTATTAAAAGTACACACTGAACTTTTCTGTTGGAGGGTCCACCACCTGCTCGTCTCTGTTGAGAAGATGTCCAAGCTTTGCCTAGAATGTTCCACTGTATGGCATTAAACTTATCTATCTCAATAGAGACAAGTAAGCAGCACCACCTGACCACGTTACAGGTCAGATCTGTGGAGAGGCAAGCTCACCCACAGTAATTATTCATGTTTTTGAAGTTTTTTCAGCAGCAAAACTAACTGAAAGCAAAATAGGTAAGTCTGATGCTTTGGAACATCTGCATCAAGAAAAGCAGGAAGAGGATCTTCCACCAGAAAAGTTTTATATCTTTAACTAGTTCAGTTCTTTACATCACTGACAGTTATTACACAAGTGTTTACTTCCAGGTTGAAGGGACACAAACTGGTGGATCCGGTGGAGGACTTGGACCAAAGGGCCTGTCTGACTCATGGGCGCCCCCTAGAGCTGTACAGCAGAAAACAGGAGAAGTGCATCTGTGTGCTGTGTATGGAGAAGGGAGAGGAGGGGGTGGTGTCCTCAGAAGAGGAGTGGGCCAACAAGAAGGTAAACACTGTCAAATCTGCTCATCATCTGATTTCTGGAGTCTGTGAACAGTTACATCTGATGTGAATGATCTGGTTTCTTTTTGCAAGTTCTGACAAGAAAACATGGCAAAGACAAAATGAAAGAGAAAGACTTCAAATCTACTGTATTGTTACAGAACAATACA